ATTGTTTTCATATGTTATACGGCGGACGAAACGTAGTGATGGTATTCTCCCGTTACTGTCACACGAAAATTCAGAATTACTAGCGAAGTCTACTCTACGTTTATTGTAACAAATACTTGTCCCACTCACACAGAGATGCCAACCATTGAATCTGTACAAGTGACTGAGGAAACTGTCCTTCCGTTGATAACTAACCTCAAACCTGGTAAGACACCGGGCCCTGACAGGTTACGTCCACGGTTGCTGACATCTCTTGCGGACATTATTTCAAAACAGCTCGCGACACTCTTCAACATGTCCCTTTCACTCGCTCAACTCCCTAGAGATTGGAAGGACGCTATAGTTAGCCCTATATTTAAGGACGGTCAGAGACATATAGTAACTAACTACCGGCCTGTCAGTCTAACTAGCATAGTCGTTAAGTTACTTGAAAAGATAATTCGGGTTAGGTTGCTAAACCACATAGATTTACACAATCTGTTAGCTCCTGAGCAACACGGATTTCGTAACAAGCGTTCATGCCTGACTAACTTGCTTATTGCAAGGGAGAATTGGACAGCAGCCGTAGATAAAGGTCTGTCGGTCGATGTGATATTCATAGATTTTAGCAAAGCATTCGACAAGGTTTCACACGTAGGTTATATGCAGAAGCTCACGACCTTCGGAAGGATAGGTACTGTACATGAGTGGATAGGAAATTTCTTATGTGACCGCAGACAGAGAGTGAGGGTAAACGGGACGCTATCCGATTGGAAGCCGGTCAAAAGTGGTGTACCCCAAGGCACCATCTTAGGCCCTCTGCTCTTCCTTCTCTACGTTGATGAGTTACTGTGTTACTTAGTTCGTCGACATTATTGTTTGCGGATGATGTAAAAATCTGGAGAACAATAAGAAGTGCGGCTGATCATCTGGATCTTCAAGCAGACTTAGACGATTTAGTTAGATGGGCTCGAGAATGGGGCTTAGAAATCAATGCTAGGAAGAGTGTGCTAATGCACATCGGTCACGGTAATAACTACCGTTACACTATTGAGGGTAAACCTCTTCCATGCGTTCAAGATCATAAAGACTTAGAAATAGTATTAAGTCATGATTTAAAAACGACTACGCATTGCAAAGCAGCCGCTGTCATAAGTTTTCGTGAGTTATGGTCACTTAGCCGAGCGTTCAAACCTTTTGACGAGGAAATGTTTCGAATTTTATATCCCACCTATGTAAGGCCACACTTAGAGTACTGTACCAAAGCAGCTAGCCAGTGTCTGGTAAAGGATACTAACTCCCTTGAGCGTGTCCAGCGTGTGGGAACGAAATTAGTGAAGGGTCTTTCTAGACTCCCTTACGATGAGCGTTTAAAACGCCTAAATCTTTTCCCCTTGTCGTATCGTAGGACACGAGGTGACCTTATACTGGCATTTTGTATCTTTAATTATGATTTGGGTGTTAATATGTCTTATGTTTTCGCTCCCTCCAGCACTAATAATCTCCGAGGTCATAGCAAGAAGGTTCATAAACCACGATCTAATAAACTTAAAGTGGGGTCCCGTTTTTCTCATCGAGTAGTCAATCATTGGAACGCCTTACCCGAACAAGTGGTATCAGCCCCATCAGTGAATACTTTCAAGGAAAAGCTGGACCTTCACTGGAAAGCAATGTGTCAGGATTAACACAGGTTCATCAACCTACTATCCTTATTACTGAAGACTGATCATGAATATTGAAGGGAGTGTTTCGTTCTCTGTCATTTTTGCTGGCTGATGGGAAAAATGAAAAGTTTTCTATGATGGAAACGCCATTCCATCATGGCAGTGTAGTGCACTCAGCCACGACGGAAGAAAAATAAAACATAGAGAATGTCATTCATACAGTCTAAATTATTCGAAAATATCTAGAACTGACAAGCTAAATAAGCGGATAAAATACCGTTACTGCTGAATACGATTTATTTTATTTTATTTGAACACATAAAAATTGGTACAAGATTGCGCCAATGAGAATTTAAAGAGAAGGAAAAAGAAAAAAATGTTAGGAGGGTAAAAAAAGAGAACAATAGCGGAGAGATTGGTGTAATAATAACAGTGGTAATAATGGGGGAACGGAAAGGTACAATCAGGAGAAACCCTTCAGTTAAGGAAGATACAACCACGTTTTATGAAGAAAGTAAAAGAAGGTTACAACAGGATCACCACTGGCTTCTATTTTGAGCCATATCTGATAACGTCTCTAGCCACTGTGTAGCACTATCTCCCGGACCCCAACCAGGGAGTCGTGAAGGACCAGCGCAAGCCAGTCATTGCAGCTTTCTTTCACACCACGACACCATGTCATGCACTGACCACCTCTCCGCCTCTTCCAATCAGTCCTGGCGTCGGCAAATAATGCACGACGTGGAATTCTCTGGGACGACATTTGGAGAACATGTCCAAGCCACCGAAGTCGGTGTTTCAAGATGGTGACATTAATTGCATTATCGTCTCTGTGCCCGAACACACGATGCCGAACTACTGCATTACTGACATGGTGTTGCTACTGGATGTCGGCAATCCTTCAGAGATAACGATGATCAAAAACAGAGTCGCCTAACATTCTCAACTCAGGGAGGCCAGGTTTCACAAGCATAGAGCGAAACTGCTCTCACCGACGCGTTGTAGATCCGACCCTTTACGGCCAGACTAACATCACGAAGGCGCCATAGATGGCCCAGATTGGCATAAGCCGCTCTGGCTTTCATTATACGTCCATTGATCTCATCACTCACGCCACCACCAGCACTTATGCAGCTACCTAGATACACGAACTTCTTGACTATTTCTATCTGCTCACTACCCAGGGTGAGTGTAGGATCAGGGTCCTGCCAGTCTTGTAGAAGTACTTTGCACTTCGAAGGTGCAAAGCAAATGCCGTACCTACGGACATTGATTACCAACTGATTAAGTGCGGATTGTATGGCTTGGGCATTATCGCACAGTAAGACAATATCATCCGCATACTCAAGGTTGAGTAGTCTTTCTCCAGGCAACGGATTCACACAGCCATTACTTACATCCATCAGAGCTGTTTTCAAAATGTCATGGATGGCAAAGTTGAAGAGGAACGGTGAGATTGGGCAACACTGCCTAACCCCATTGCTTGAATGAAACAATGGAGAAAGCTGGTTGTATGTCCTCACTGCCGGAGGTGTTCGTATATAGGACTTTTAGGATGTTCATAAACTTCTCAAGCACACCCTTCTTCAATAGACAATCCCAGAGAACAGTCCTGTCCAGCGAATCGAAGGCAGCCCTGATGTCAAGATACACTACGATTGTTGGCCTTTGATAAGTATGACAGTGTTCTAACGTTTGGTGGAGGGTGAAGATATGATCAATACATCCTCGATCAGAACGAAACCCAGCCTGCTCTTCGCGAGTCAATCTTTCTCGGGTTTTGAACAATCTACGGAGTATTACGGAAGCCAATAGCTTGGACACAATCAGAAGTAGACTTATCCCCCGATAGCTGTTACAGGAACGACGTGAACCCTTTTTAAAGATAGGAACAACTATCGACTCATTCCATGATGTTGGTACACTCTACTATACACTTAGGTAACTCGTAAACGTGAAATTTACTCCCAGCCGTGTGGCGAATGTTGTTACATACACTAGTCAACATTAGATGAGTAGAAAACGTAGCTGATCAGTTGCATGCAACTCATATATACTGGTGATGAAAAATAACATTTGTACTGCTAAAAAACCCAAAATAAATAGTTCTGTGGGTCTTCGACACTGATGCTGACCGCATTAGTTTTACTGGACACATCTAGCTGAAGGCGCTTAGTCGCGCATCTACACCACATCACAAGTGTGTAGGCCGTACTACTCATCCCTTGTAACTGCTGGCCAGCTTAGACCAGACGCTTTTCGACTTATCGATAGCTTTCCAAATATATATTTGAACTCCTTCATTTTTGACTTCTGATTTACCGGGTTGGTATACTTCAATTTTAAAAGTATAACATGTAAAGGTGATGCCAAACTACGAATACCTGTGACATCTTTACATTATTTATTGTGTCAAAAGTTTATATAAGCAGTTGTACTTTGTTCAGATACACCTAAAAGGCTCGTATGTAAAAAACAGAGAGTTTACACAAAGACAACCATATCTTGCATACGTTGCTCATGAAAAGAGAGAGTTCCAGGACATTACATGACACAATTAGGAATACTAACAGTTAACGCAGCAACTAGTGTTCTTAACGATTACGAAATACTGAGAAACATGCAAACCTGAAGAAGAAATTCCAGGAAGATAATTTTGCGGCCAGAAATCATTGAATGTTTTTGTTATAAATGAAAGTGCATGCAATGGTGGAATAATTAGAACATGCGGTGATCCGTATAAACGAGTAATGATCGCACACGTGCCGACTTCATAGTTATGCTTATTGAAATTAAGAGCGTTTTGCGAATACTCAAACAAGTCAACATCAAATGCAACGAATATATGAGGTTGAAGATGTCACAGGTATTCAGTGTTTGTCAACGCTTTTACCAGTAACACCTAATATAACTCGTACCCACCAAGAGAAATCAAAAGACAGAATCGAGAAGATCAGAAGTTGTATTTGACGATTGCCAATATATCGGAATTGTCTGATCTAGTTTGGCTAGCGATTGCAGTAGATGTTGAGCACGGCGTTTCGACACGTGATCTGGTGCGGATGCATGACCGAGCGCCTTCAGCTAGGTGAGTCCACTAAAACTAATCTGGTCAGCATCCAATGTCGAAAACTTACAGAGCTATTTATTTTGGAGATTTATTTACCGGTACAAGGTAAAAATTTATTGCTCTCATTAGCATAATCATGTACGCGTCCCGCGATATATCTCGTTTTCCTCTTCCATTATTTAATTCCTCTTTCAAGTGTCAGTTCATCTTATACTTGTTTACAGAACACTAAATGTACTGAAAGCGAACATTTGACATTGAAACAGAGTGTTTATGCTCACTTCAGTCAAAAGTCTCGCCTACAATAGAACGTGAGTTCTAATATTCCAAATATTTCATAAGTGACTGCTATGTGGATAAAATATTTTAAACAATTCTTAAGGTCACTGATATTTTTCGAATTGGTTGTCACGGACGCGGTAACAGGTTCGACGTTTTCACAAATAAAGAGTGGTTTGTTATTAATAAGTCGTATTCAGTGCATTTTTCCTCAGTTTTCTCCTCAATTCAAAATTGATGTCAAACAACGAAAAAATACCTCGAATAGATCTAGAAAACTTTGAAGATCCCCAGTTTACAGACTCTAAGTATGTCCTAACCAGTCCGAGATCACTAGAAGCTTGTTCACGTTTAAAGATACTCGTAATTTAAGTCATTATATTTGATATTTTTTAGCCTGTGGATCTTTTGCATAAAAGCAGAACTGAGTTCCTTGAACGTTTTAAAAAACTTCCACCAAGCAAAATTGAGGAATTGTACATAAGAAGTGAAGAAAAGAGAAGAGGTATTCCTATTATATGTTTTATTTTGTTTAGATAAGCTTGTGAAAGCTAGAATAGAGAGGTGGAAGTTAGTACATGCTGACTGTACAAATGATCGTGACAACCCTCCGTTTGGCGAAACTCATATTATGGGTGGTGAGTCTTAAGTACTTAATCAAATAACTGCGGAAGTTTAGATGAAAATGGAGTTTCACACATTGGAAGGTGAGACGATTGATGGTATACATAGTTGTTTATTGTTCTTTAATGCTTAAGTTTCCTATAACGATTGAAATCGATTCCTGTCCACGCTAAGAGAATACATTGTCTATGACTGAGTAATTTTAAGAAGCATCAAAAGAACCTCAAACCTTTGGTTTTCAAAGAGCAAAAAATTGAAATACCTGGATGCGCTACACAACGGATGTTTTTCTGTAACTTTCAAAAAAATAACCTAAAAATATTCATTCTGTAATTCGGGAACTAAAACTTTCATTTTATTCTCTACAACTCCTATTGGAAAATAGTTTATGGTTTTGAGATATATTAGAAATTGGGATGTAAGTTGTGCTATCACATGCGTTAGGATTTTACTGGTCAAAGTAATGGAATTCTCCTTAGTTTATGGTAGCTTACATGATTTCTTATGTTTAAAAAAATATTTCTCAGTAATTTTACTGAAGCAGACATTTTTTGACTTTATATTTGGGTTTAGTTTTTCGTTTAGAAGAGGCCCCTGAGAGAAGACTGTCCCGAAATAGTTTGCTATAGACTCTATCTTTTCCTGATCATACTCTATCTGTTGAGGTCCACGTCCTTCCTTAATTAGGTTAGGAACCCTATGCTGCGTCCTTATTCCGTAGAATTTTATGTACGAGAATAGTCTCTTAGACTGCTTGGTTACAGGTTAGGCCAACTGTTTTTCATATTTTTACTGAGCTCCCTGGATTGTAATTTTACACTTATTTTTCACCGACCTGTAGTGCTCCATCGTACTTGCTGTGCCAAGACTGGTGGAGATGTTCCAACATTTCTTCTTTTGTTTTAGTAAACGTCGAATATCCAGGCATATCCAGGAATAGCCATACTTCTTCTTTGGGACTATCCAGTGTATAAATGGTTGAGTAACTTGATTGTATAACTGCCGGAAATGAGTCCATGTTTGTTTTACTGTTGCCCCTGAGTTAACTATCCAGTTTTCAGCCGAGGCTGAAGAGTTGATCACTTTGGTGTCTGTCTTTCATATGTTAGGACGGGTTGGTAAAACTGCTTGACAGACCATCTCAGTCACAAACTTGTGTAAGATGGCCGGATGATCACTCCTCCCCAAAGGTAGGAGAAAAGTTATTTGACTGATCATCACCGTGTGTGAAGATTAAGTTCAAGAGAGATGAGGAGTTTTGTAGGTCATATCTCGTGGGATATCTAATGCTCTGGAATATAGCTAGGAGGGTTGTGGTTTCTAACAATTTACATCCAAATGATACTGCTGATGACCCTACTCTTATGTTTCCGCAATTTATAAATTGTGCATTAAAGTCACCTACTATAAGGCTCTCACCCCTGTTACACAAGGATTTAAGTTTGCTTAGGAGGAAGTCATCCATTACACATTCTGAACTGCGGTATACTACAACTAGTTCAACACCATGCCGTTTACATTTTATCCTACAGCGCACCAGTTTACATGTACCTGAGTCGTATGCCACTGCCTCGATAGCTCAAATGGTTAAGGTACTTTTCGTGTCCAGAATAACCCCACCATCCCTACAGTTTAGTCCATCAAACTTACTACCATACACTTCTGACGTTAACCATGCCTCTGAGATGGCAATGACATCACGGTATTCTGTATCCATCATAGTTTTGAGCTCCGCAATTACAGTATGTAGGCTGTGAGCATTTGTGTAGCACACCTTTAATTCTGTGAAGAGCTTTACGTTGCCGCCCATAGTGGTTTTGGGGTTGTTTTGTTCCAGAATATTACTATATGAAAACGCTTATGCATGAAGTTTTTTCACCGTTTCACTTACTTATTTGCGCTGGCTGCCGGCCAGCACTCTCTAACCCACTCTGTCCTGGGCCTTCCTTTCCCGTTCTATCCGATTTTTCTCCATTATTCTCATGTCCCTCTACGTTTCTCGGCGTAATGTGTTCTTTGGTCTTCCACTTTTCCTTTGGCCCTGAGGATTCCATGTCAGGGCTTGTCTTGTGATGCAGTTGAGTGCTTTCCTAAATGTGCGTTCGATCCACTTCCAGCACCGCCTCCTGATTCCTTTCTCCACTGGTATCTGGTTTGTTCTCTCTCACACTAGGTTGTTGCTGATAGTGTCTGGTCAACGGATCCGAAGTATTTTGCATAAAAAACTGTTGATAAACGCTTGTATCTTCTGGATGATGGCTTTCATAGTTCTCCGGGTTTTTGCCCAACACAGTAGAAATACCTTGACTGGTCGTTCTGGTTTACGATAATTTCCAGTGATTTTCATTGTTGTGTCATGCAATTGTATAATGTTTCCTTCTTTTACAGCCTTTTTCACTGTCATTTCTAAGTCCTCCACATATTTACGTTTGTGAGTTCTGATGCTCCTCTTCTTTTGCTTGTTTACTTCTGTGTATCCAGCTTGTGCCTTGGCTTTTTCTGCTCTTGCTCGGTTGGTATTGATTGCTGTCTTCTTATTCCTCCTCTGTTGAATCTTATCCAGTGTATCAACAATGATGCATTCCTTGTGATGGTGATTATTGTGGCCCAGAACCTCATGACATGTCGAAGTTATTGCCCCTTTTATCCCTTTCTAGTTGTTTTCCATAGTAGTTCTCTCTCCATTAAGTAGATGATGAAAGGCCTGGAATCTATTGCTGAGGGCTATCTTGGATTTGTTTAGTTGGTCAGTATCCCGAATAACAGTCATATTAAACTGTCGTGATGTTGTTCGTCCCGTTGTCCAGTGCTTCTTAAGTATCAGTTTCATCTTGGCGACCAGCAGATGATGATCTAATGCTATATCAGCCCCTCTATTGGCTCTCACATCCTCCACTGTCCTCCTGAACTTTATGTTGATGTAGGTATGGTTGATTTGGTTCTGTGTAATGTGACCCGGTAAGTTCATGTGGTTTTGTGTATGCGTTTGTGTGGGAATATAGCGCCGTTTATAACCAGTTTATTAAAGGCACATTTTCGTCCCATTCTCTAGTCCATGTCGTCCCACCATGTCTTAATATCCGATGTTGTATATTCCGACCTTGGCATTTAGGTCTACCATCAGTATCGTCAAGTATTTTGTTGGCACTTCTCGACGATTGACTACAGCCTATCATAGAATTGATCTTTAACGTCTTCCTTGTTGTCGTTGTTAGGCGCACAACATTGGATGACGCCCATTTTAATGTCCTCTTTCTTTGTTTTGAACGAAGCTTTGATGATTCTCGGCCCATGAAATTCCCATCCTATAAGTGCATTTTGTGCTTGTTTTGATAGCATCCGTGCAACTCCTTGTGTGTGGAGCATCTTCTTTTTCATGGCCGGAGTATAACAGCAGCTTTCCTGAGGCTAGTTGTTAGTGTCCAACCTGCTTCCACTGTGTTTCACTGATTCCGAGCACCTCCAGGTTGTATCTTTTCATTTCTGTAGCAATTTGGATGGCTCATCCGGTCTCCGACACTGTACGAGCATTCCATGTACCTAAATTAATGGTTGCTCTGATTGTCAGAAAGGGCATCAGCCTCGTAAATTCCGAAGGAACTCGGCTTTCACCATGTGGTATCATAACTCTTCTAAATGAAGACCTTCTAACTCCAAGGGCAGAGTTTAAACTGTTTGAGTTATTTTTTTCTGGTTAGCGTTTATATAGCGAGTTAATTTTTTACGGGATAGGGTTGCTAACCGCATGCCCAACCCTTCTTTATCCGGGCTCGTGACCAGCAACGCAGAGGGGCTCCGGGTGGAGTTCACCGTTCCGGTGGCGCTCATTCATTTTTACCTTTGCCAATCGTCTCTTAATATGACTAACCAGGCTGCAATCCTCACGGACATATATTCCGGGTCCAGTCAGTTCTCATCAATTTTTCAGCATTGAGTTTCATCCGTCAGCAGAAGCAAAGGTAACTTTTAAGAGGCGGCTTTTCTGGGTACTTACAGAATCCAATTTTTGTCTTATTCTGTATAGCTCACGGATGTTAACTCCTACTACTGTTTCTGGAAGTAGTTTGCTTATTAAGGACTTGATGTAGCTGAGGCCGTGTTTACATCTAGCCTTTGGCTGCTTAAGAAAATGACTGACCTGTCAGCGAGGTTCGTGCTAACAAGTTGTGGAGTTTCATTTCTTAAAATCTGCCCATCCCTGCAGTCCGATTCAGAGTCAGACGCGAATGTCTCGCTCTGGTTCCTTCCGTTTTCTTTTCTGGGTATAACTATAGACCAATCTTCATCGACTGAGATGGTTGGACCGCGTGTTACCCATGTCTGAACACTGTTTACGATGACACGCAATGCTAACGGGTGTTGGAGACGGTTGGAAAAAAATTGGGGTGGCCAAACAAAAACGTGGCATCAATCTGTAATGTCACTAACTTCTAGTCATAGCCATGTTGGTAGATGCAGACTACTTGGTCGGGGTCCACGTGACTATCGCAACCATTGGTTAAAGATTCTCGGTGATATGGCCCCGAATCAATCACAATGGCGTCGGTATGTACACACTTTGTCTTTACTTAAACCGTAAGATTAAACTTGCTTCATATCTTTCTTCCTACCAACTACTTCTTTCTTCCTGTACTATATTCTTATACACAATCTTTCTTTTACTCATTACTGCTATTGAAGTGACTACTTCTATGAATTTAGTGTTAATGTTTCGTGCTAACTAGGTATGGCAACTTAGAACGATGTATATATGTGACTGACCCTACGTTGTAGCTGACCGACTGACATCATCTACACCACTTAGGCTTTACTCCTCCATAGTCTGTTTTGCGTTGATATGTGAATACGGAGCTGAAACCGTCGACTCACATATCTTAGGGCTCCCGATAATTTGTTTCTTCTCAGCATGATTTTTCATTCTTATTGTAACCATTCCCACATCCGTGTTTTTGTTATCCTCTGCGTTATTAGTGTCCACCTTGACGGTTTCATTCAAGTTCATAGCCGGACTCATGATAACGCTCACTGCTCCCTCGAAAACTGAAAACTGTTCATCTGCTGCTGGCTATTTATCTGAGGGCATCTTCCTAGGTATGTTTAGCAGCTCGATCGCCTCAAGAATTAGCAGAGATTTTGCAGAGCAACATGCTTTGCACAACCAACGTGATGGTGACTAGATTCACCTTTTATTTACAGCCAATATGAGTCCGGTGCACACGTTATGATATCACGTGTCACAGTTGTCACATTGCATTCCATCCTCGACCTGTAAAAAGCATGCGAGTCTACCAAAATGATGTTTTACTTGCACCATTAAAACTTTAGTGATCTCACAGAGAGAACAAGAAAAGGAAATCTCCTAAAGCGCAAAGAAAATAAACAAACAGGAAACCTGATCTCTAGAATAAGTGTTTTTAAGGTCTCAAAGGTGATAGACACTGAACGCAAAAAGCTGAGACTTATATTTTACTGTGACTGAAAAATCCGACTAGAATAAATACAAAAAAACCTTTTCACCTTGGGTTACAATCAATACTAAAAGGTTTATTCAACGAAGAAAAATACTACTATTCCTTCTGTTTCGCGCTCGCAAAAAATTACACAACTTTGGCCAACCGTATTAACCCAGAGTCCAAACGTTTCACAAAAGCTGCTGTTTGATGGTTCACTAGTGATCAAAGCCTCCATATTAAAAGAATTCTGTGAATTTAAAATAGTCTAGAGAAATGCTACTCATTCTAAATAAGCTATAACTTCGGCGAAACAAACAAAAATTAGATGTAGGCAGAGTGAAGTTGTATTGTATGGTTATAATAGATTAAAACACAACATGAAACATTTACTTGTACCGTAAATGTATTAATTATTCATCATACATTACTGCTATTATATCTACCTACAGTCAAAAGGCACAAACATTTCATAACTGTCATTATAGAAGCGTGAATTATTCTGGTTGTATAGTGTACTACTAGTTAGAGCGGATTGGATTATAGCTCTCAAATGTGATTCTATTTTACTCGATATTTGAACGAGTTTGAATGTTTAGATGTTTATAACTGATTCATACAGTAATGCTAAGTTTGAAAATTTGTTTTGTGTTGTTTAGTTCAAGCAGATCTTTTTGATGGCTAGGATAAAATGATTCATATGTTTTTATCTATCACTTTTGTCTAGTCGAATTCAATCTTTAAATAAAAATAACGAAATTTAATTGCACTTCATATTAATTAAAAAGAGCCCATAAATTTGTGACCAGTTAGCTTTAATTGTAAGAAATTGCCACTGGATTGACTAATACCTCATTTAATCTGTGGCAAAAACACCAAGAGGTAGTTTCTGGAAACTTTCATTTTCACGCATTACTGCATAAGGATTATTTACTTGAAATGTATGCCTTCCTTAGAGATTAACAATAATATTCTTTAGAATTTCAGGTTTGATACGTAGAACTTCGTATTTGGTATTTAACCTTCATCTGACTTCAAGTGACGCGAGTGTGTTGTTGATGAACAGATTTCTATTTCAACTGATTCCCCTCTAATGGACTGATCCGTTGAAATGGTTTGATAACACATTCCGAAAACTCATCTTAAATGAGTGATTTTATTATCAATGAAAGATTAACCAGAGGAAAACTGTATGGATGTGATATGAAAGTTACTGAAGGGAAACATTCAAAAGCTAAATTGGAAGTTAATGTTTTTTAATTTCTGTAGTGAGTAAAATTAGAAAGCCCTGTCTTATTTCGAGAATCTTAACAAACATAAATACCTCGTTATTAATTTCAAGATTATAGATAAGTAATATTCAGTCTTCAGTCTTCAGTAATAAGGATAGTAGGTTGATGAACCTGTGTTAATCCTGACACATTGCTTTCCAGTGAAGGTCCAGCTTTTCCTTGAAAGTATTCACTGATGGGGCTGATACCACTTGTTCGGGTAAGGCGTTCCAATGATTGACTACTCGATGAGAAAAACGGGACCCCACTTTAAGTTTATTAGATCGTGGTTTATGAACCTTCTTGCTATGACCTCGGAGATTATTAGTGCTGGAGGGAGCGAAAACATAAGACATATTAACACCCAAATCATAATTAAAGATACAAAATGCCAGTATAAGGTCACCTCGTGTCCTACGATACGACAAGGGGAAAAGATTTAGGCGTTTTAAACGCTCATCGTAAGGGAGTCTAGAAAGACCCTTAACTAATTTCGTTCCCACACGCTGGACACGCTCAAGGGAGTTAGTATCCTTCACCATATTGATCGGTACAAAGTAGTACTTATCCACAACAATATAACATGAAATAAAATGCATCGTGAGGTAAAATTACTTTAGATTAGTTACTACATTAGGACTTGAACATCTGAATTTGAACGATTTGAGTGGCAATTTGATCTTAATTTATGAAAGGATAAATATCTGTTACTAATAATATGCTGATAAATAATTACTGCTCATCTTGAACAATTAAGAAATAAGCAAACTAGTATAGAATTTTTCTGTAAAAGTAAACGATGAGTGGCAGATACATTGCCTTTATAGACTGTAATAGTCTCAACATATTGTAACCGTGAAATTGGGAACCTATCATATTCATGTATTTATTTCTATTAAGCATTTTGTCACTTTCGAAGCTACAAGGAAACAAATATATTTATTATTTATCCTATCATAAATTTTCAGTTATACTATTATTATTTCAGTACTTCGTTAGATCATTTCGAACTATCTGAAGTTTAATTTTATTTTATTCCATCGATAACATCACCATTATTTTAAATCGTTTGATATACATCTTAATTATTTCTTTCATCTGTGTTGGTACGATGTTACATTTCTATCTCATACAAATTTGTTCAATTTTCTGTGAATAAATTTAAATATTCAACATATATCTTGGTCAATTATTGTTATTTAAGTTACTTTGAATTATTTACAATATATGTCTGATTATCAAAATATATTTAGACAGTATATTAAAGGGTGATTTGTCGTTTTCTTTGATGTATTGGACTTAATTTTCTTATTTTCAGAAATTCAACTTCTCAATCATCTCCTGGAACTTTTCAAAATTTGGTCAACCTTGAACCAAGTTTATCTAAAAAGTATTCATATCTAATTGAGAAACTACAACCTACGGTAGGTAATGCCAGACTAATCAATATTCTATAACGGTTTTTAATATAAAAAAAATAGTTGAGTTGAATATTTATTTAAACAAGCACATACTATGGTTTTGCAAATCACGTAAAATTATATTACTTTAAAATTACAAAATATGTTCATTTAAATAGAAAAGTACTTTTTTATTTCCCTTAATAGAAATACATTATTTTAAACTAAAAAGTCATGTATTTCGGAAATTGTATTCAGTCAGAATAACATCTAGTTTTAATCGAAATATCCTTACGGTCAATATATCATTGATTGCTTAATGTTTGTCAAGGTAACTTAATAGTTGAATTCATGAATCGATTTAAAACCAAGCCACCATGGAAAACCTGGAAACAGTGGACGACCATTTCATTTTATTGTGGGACTCCTCAGAAGTGCGCATCCACGATCCCGCTCGCGGGATTTGAACCTAGGACCTTCAGTCTCGCGCACAGAAGCTTAATGTCTAAACCACTAAGCTACCATCCATTGGTGTTAATGTCTAACTTCAACCAATCCACGAAATTGCTCCACCGTCCAGGTATTGAGTTTCTCTATGTACATAGTTAAGATTTCATCCTAATTTGAATACTTGAAGCTATAAACAATTTACTTATTGAACTATAAAATTATTGAAGACCAAAGGTCATTGTCCAGTTATATGATTTTACACTGGACGTTCACTACATCATACATTTAGGAGTGATCGTTGTTAAAAAAATATATAACCATCGAATAATTGTTTCCTAAAATCCAAGAAATTTAACAAAAATGGATGAATTTCATGATTACAGAATTTTAATTTTCAGGAAATATTTAATGTCACTTTTTCATCAATTATAATAATCTATACTCAATCAGTCAGTAACAACGTAGAACTTCATACGTAAGTACATCAGTTCGAGTTGCCATACCACATTAGCACAGAGATGCGGTTGTCAATTCAAATCCCATAGTGGTAAAGGTGGTAAGATTATAAGCAGTAATCAGAAAGATTAAGGTTTGAAGATGTTATTCAGGGAGTATAATCCAATGAAATAAATTTGGAAAGAGAAAAAAATGGGGACATGAATAATTCAGAAGATTAGAATTTTGGGGAACACAAAAAGTGGGTGCAACTGCTCCATTGCAAACGATTTTGAGCCATTTCATTCAAGGTCTCCAACCATCCGTTGCTATCATCTTGTAGTACAATAATATATATTCACTCAACTTGATATCAATTAATTGTTCCCCACTTTTGTAAATTGTATATTCATTCTTATCTACATATTCAATTTTGTATTGTTATTTGCTTTTCTCAGGAAATTAAACAAATCGAATTAATGCGAAGAAAATATCAGCAGAATAAAATTGATTGTCTATCATCAAGTGGCTCATTATCAAGAAGTCTACAAAACTTAGTTCTTGTTGGTCAGGCAAGTGTTAATTGTTGTTTTAATAAGTTTTAACATTATTATTATTACAAATTTGGATATTTTATTTGTTAAATAGTTCTGCCTAATGGAATTCATCTGTTACATTTTTCTTGTTTTATGGAAACATTTCGTAATATCATTATTATGTCGTTTTTTTTTTTAAATTTAACAACTTTTATTCAGATAATTATGAATTCATGCTATTCTACTTGAATTTTCGTTCTTGTTTTTTTCAAAATGATAAAGGGAACTATGTGTATGTAACCACTTTTGCATTTTAAAAAAGTGTACTCCATCCAATAGGTAAATGAATTAAGATCACAAAGACTTCATCTTAAAAAGATTCAGGGGACACTGAGCTTATCTCTTCTAAAGTGCTACTCCTCTGTAGAAATACAGTTGTTCTATCTCCACTTTTATTGTTAAAAATATTCATGTAACCCCTTAAGATGTTAGGCTTTTCAGGTCTTTCTTCGTTTCAAGGTAGTCCGCTTCAGTACTGTACTAGTGTTTCTCTTTATGATTAGTTTGCGTTTTGAAAGCAAAACACACGAATGGGTGATTAAGTAAAGTAATTAAATTTGAGGATCAAATTACGGCCTACAAACTTGTGGACATTAATAACTAATAATCGTAGTAGCTCAGTTCCCATATCTACCAACACTGAGTATAAGAGTACAGCTGTTGTTGATTAGTAACTAAATAAAGACAGATCAGCAAATTCAGAGTGACTTCAATGGGTAAAAGCTTGAGTTCAATACACTTGATAGTTTGTTTAAGCTTATACAATAACTCAAGGTCTTAGAAGCTCAGTTTGTGATGAGAGATACGGCGTAAATCTAATTTTTCCTCTTTCTCAATGTAACTAATTCTTAGCTGTAATATAAACTTAGTCATTACTGTCATAATTCTATCACCAATAAACGTCCATTAAACATACTCATTGATATATTCATATGAACTCAAAGTTTCATTTGAACTTCTGGTAGTTTGACGGATTTCTTTTTCAGAATTTTAAATGATAAGAAAATATAATGTATTTGTGAGCAGTTGTTTAACATTTTGTTCCTTTTCTTCTCAGAAATCGTTGAGTAATTGTTACCATTTGACTATTTTTTAAACCTGAATTTTGTATCCCTAGTACATATTTTTAATTAACCTGAAGCTTTCTACTTAAAGTAATCGCAAAGCTAAACTGAATACTTTACAGTGATAGTAATGGATAAGACAAATTAATCAGCCTCGACAAAAATTAATTAGAAGAATTCATTCTAATAATTCAAGAATCAATGAATTATTAGCGAATCCTTCAGGTCATAATATACCACCAACAACTCAAACATTTCTGAATAAGATACAATAACTATCTAATATTTTCATAACCTACTATTAATTTTAATTTTTAATGAAACCTTCCATTTTTAAAATTTACACTACGAACAAAATATAAATGATTGATAAATATTCAGTCAATAATTATATTTGTTACTATATCAACTAACCTTTAAAAAAATTGAATGGTTGTTACGTTGTTTAATGTTTTAGGCATCTAGACCACAATCGGCTATTTGCCGAAAATCTCAACATGATAAAATGAGCTCCAATTATTTGAAAAGTACGGAGCAGCGTTTAACAGTAAGTCTTATATGTCCTTTTAAACTTATAGAAATTCATTAAGTAAATTACTTTTCAAGATGTATTGCATTTAAACTTAGTATGTTCTTTGATTGCATCGTGAAATAATAATATTCATAAATGAATTAACTAGAAGGATTATTTGTTTATTTATTTATTATTTATTATAAATATCTTTATTCAATATTGTACATTGGTACAATATAGAATTCTCAGCACAGGGTATGTCAACAAGTTGCTTACGCAAAAAAATACAGTAACAAATACAAAAAAAGGTTTACAAAAATAAACAACCGAAAAACTGTACAACTTTACAAATTAGCGACATGTTAAGAATGCAGGTTATTGGCTAGGTTAACTCTAACAACCCGTTCGTCACAGAGTATATTTGCTAGGTAAGGTATTATAGAACTTTTATACTTTTGCTTGCATGCATGGATTTTAATGTAATTACGTCTCATTCTACCAGAAGATATACAAGGAGAAAGATAAGAGTGAAGGGGATGGTTAGTATCTGATAAAATAACACCTGGCAGGAGTTTGCATGACTTTAGAGGTCTATCCACAACCATATTAATTATGACCTCGAAAGATTCACAACACACCTTGAAAACTGCCTTCAGCACTCTCCGTAATACAACAAAGTCTTTTCTCAAGAGCCCGGGAAAGAACAATGGAGAACAGTAAAGAATAATAGGTAATATGCAAGGATTGACAAATTGTAAGAGTAAATGACGAGTAATCCCAAGAGCATGCAATCTCTTTATGTAGTAATTCAGACGGAAAACCTTCGATAACAATAAAACGTGAGAAGACGAAGAGAGATTAAAAAAGGTAACACCAAGATGATTGACCTTCAACACTGTGTTTATCAAACAGTTTTCAATCGCACAAGCATTATGGAATCCCAATATGGTGTTTAGATTCCGTTCATGTCTCATGCTAAAGTTAACAGATTGACATTTAGACGGATTAAGTATGATGAAACCATTAAAAACAGACCACCATTCAATACGATACAAAGTCTCATTCATTTCTACGGAATGTAAAGAGGTAGAAATCGGCATACATACAGTGAAATCGTCCACATATTTCACAAAAGTGTTTTTTGTGGAAGATGGCAGATTATTTAGAAAAGAAGAGACAAAAAGTGATGAAAGAACAGCTCCTTGTGATACACCTTCATGAGACAGTAGAGACTCTGAACACTTTCCTCCAAACACAGTGTACTGTTTCTTCCAGAGAGGTAGGAACATAGCCAGTTGGTTATCCAGCTGTCAGTGTTGACGCTGATTAACTTGTTAAGTAAACGTTGTCTTGGTATAGAGTCAAAAGCTGAAGTATAGTCCAGAAAAGCACATCGAACATAGTTCTGACCCTTTTCTAAGTTGAACACTATATTGTGATACAGAACAGCAACAGCATCTAAGGTGCTTCTTTTGCATCTGTAAGCAAACTGCTACGTATCAATATGCTCTTTTATCACAGGCTGAAGTGGAAGTATTAATAATTTTTCGACTGCTTTGAGGAAGTGTGAAGCTATTGAAATAAGTCTAAATTTCACATTCTTATCACCAGATAATTTCCTGGATACAGGAATTATCTTCATCTTTCACCACATTTTCGGTATGATATTAGATGAGAAGGATCTGTTAAAGATAGTCATGAATGGATAACATAAGACATTTTTTGATTGTTACTGTCTACTATGAATTCAATAATAAATTATTGTCATCTTTCCTTGGCCTTTTGTGTAAACCTTTATTCTTTTACTTTTGAGTTCAACTGTTATTCTTTCTTCTAGTTTCGATTTTAAAATTTATTCTATTTTCACAGATTGAAATCATGAGTCAGTTGAAGCTACTCCTGGAGTTCTAGTGGGAAGCCGTTACCAGTGGAGTTCAACCAGGTCTGTTGTGAGATATCAGCCCACTGAAGACAATGGTATATGGTGGCGCAACTTCGTGGATTGGTTGAAGTTAGACATTAACACCGTTGGATGCCGGCTCAGTGGTCTAATGGTTAAGTGCTCGCGCACGGAACCAGTAGGTCCTGAGTCCGAGTCCTGTGGGGTGCGGGATCGTGGATGCACATTGCTGAGGAGTCCCGTACCAGGACGAAACGGTCGTTCAGTGCTTTCAGGTTTTCCATGGTGGTCTAGCTTCAACTGACTTATGATTTCAATCTGTGAAATTTCTAAAATCTCCACAAACCCCTTCTGATAATTATTCTATTTTGACAATCAAGTTCTTATTTTCAGATAAATGTTATGTATTGAAACCTATCCAATTAAGGAAATAACAATTTTCTTCGTCTAATAATACCTATTACGCATTGGTTTTCAATTATTCTTTAACCTACATCAAACAGACATTAAAAAAATATGTATATATTGGCATATTGTTGCATAACTCTGAGAATAAATTGATATTACAAAATGTGTACTATTGTATTTGAACCTATTGATCAAAATATCGTGTACTCTGCATAAAAACCCAATGATCCTAAACTTTTTAAAAAATCTTTCACGAGGTAACGAACATGCTCTACTGTGAACTGTTATACTAGAATAAAATAGCTATTCAATACACCTTAATTTTTAATAATTCTCTTATATTTATATGTAAAAAGAACTTTCAATAAATTAATTTCATTTCTTTTTTTTTACAAATATATTTTATTTGTTTTTTTTTATTCGATTTTCCTGATGATGTTTATGGTTTTTACAATAGTGGCAAGTGTTTTCAACTGAAATTCCGTTTTATTTATTGTGATAAAGTTTGTAAACCTTTTTTTCAATCAATCTTACTTTTAATATAGTGAAAATTTCCATTTGGACATTTAGTAAATAAAGAAGGAACGAGTCGAGCGAAGAAATTTCTTTTCAATTAGTTTTTCATCATGCCTCTACAATAATATATACATTTATATAGAATATACAATTTATTTATTTATTTAAACACATAAACATTGGTACAAGAAGGCACCAAATAGATATGTGCCACATATATCATTTGAATTGTGTGAGGGCAGGTATACTACCCGGGGGCCACACCCCGAGCCTTTGACCTAAAGGTCTAACCCACAAGGCAGTGGAGCATCGTGAAGAGATGCAGTCCCATGGTAGCCGGTGACCAACGATTGGTTCATACGCCATTTGTCCCCTCAGGGTACTGGAACCCATGTGCACCATTGGTTTGGAATTAAGATTTTCCAGGTCCCCTGGGTGGACACAACCCGGTTAAAGCGCCGGAAATTCGCTTTTCGTCCTCTCAATCTCATAAACAATACTCTCTGCACAAGAATGCAGTCAGTAGGACTTCCCTGGCAGAGGCTGTACACGCGTGGCTGTGTGAGGGTATTTCGAGAGGGAGGGAGGGCCCACCTCACTCTTGGCCATACCAGGGCATTTGAGGGCAAGATTTACGTAACGTATTCACTCGATGAGTATTATTTCATTATATATATTAGTGTACAGCCGTGATGAAAAACTAATTGAAAAGAAAAGTCTCACATTCATTTTGAATTACATAATGGAAGAAAAAAAATATTTTTGTAAAACTCAAAAAGTATAGTTTCTATTGAACATAGTACTCGATCAATATTGGATACAATCATTTAGTTGGTTTAGTAATGAAAATATCCTCTGTTGTATTATTTGTAAATATAAATTTATTGTTTCAGTAAAAGGTGTTTATTAATTGGTGAATATATATTTAAATTATTTATTGTATGTTATATGTTAAATATTCCCTGTTTTCGAAGTATATATTTATTGGTATATTTATTCTTAGCGCAGGGCATCACATTCATCACTTGATAAAGAAAGACAGTTTTGGAAACGGAAACAAACTCAAGAACGAATGCAAAAGTATGATGTTATTTAAAAAAAATCGATTTCGAATGTGCAAATTTTTTTAGTCTTTCGGTAGTTAACTTTATCATCTATGTTTAAGTGGTTTTTTATTATGGAGATTTTACATGAAACCAAGGAATACTGGTTGTTTAGGTTGCCCTATTTAGAAACTTGTTAGTAATATACAGCAAAATACAAGAAATCACTGATGAATATGGATTTAGACTGCTCTTTATCACAAATTATCAAAGGTTTAAAATGTCAACTCTATGCTTTCACGTTGCTGCGTTTTATCTCTGTTGAACTCTTGGCTATAATAGGAATCTAGAAGTACAGTGAAACACTTGTCCAACATTCCTCCGTTCACTAGCTATTATCGACTTGTGAGAAATGCATTTTTGTAATAATGATATCTGGTAAAGGGTAAATATTAAAGTTTAGAAAATAATTTGAAGAAAAACGTGGTAGTCTTGCCGTAATAGCTCATTGTGAATACTATTTTATGAAAGTAATTAACATTGATTTTTTGGTTTCTATGAGCAAAAAGTAATTTTGTGTGTGTATATATCACCCCGCTTACTAGTAGAATGTTTATGCTATAAACACAGGAGTTTAAATCTTTTTATAATTACTTTTCTGTTTATCATGTGCACACTAATTTGTGCTCGGTGTAATGATCACATTTCTGTTTAGTTCTTTATTCTCACACAATCATTTATCAAATTTTATGAACGATATGGATTTAAGTACTACTACATAATAACCCTATGGCTCAATAAGAGTAGATGGGTTAATTTTTAATTGAGAGATTGACTTTACAAACAATTATCAACACGTAGGAAACGTTAATTTTTGCATAATATGAAAACAATACTTATTATCATATGAACAGTTTTGAAATATGATGGGATGCCTGTTTATTGGAAAATATTTATTCTAGATAACCGCTAATAAAAATAACAACAATTTTCTACATGAGTACTGCAACTCAATAATCCTGTACAGATTTTCCGAATAAGTTTTATACCATAATAACTGTTAGATAGTATTCACTTCCCTGAACAGAAGTTACTTACTTACGCTTGTTACCCCTTATAGAGGAGCATTGGCCACTCACCAGCATTCGCCATCCAACCCTGTCCTGGGCAATCCTTTCCAGCTCCTTCCAGTTGTTATTCATCCTTTCCATATCTGCTTTGATTTCCCGACGTAATGTGTTCTTTGGCCTTCCTCTTTTCCGCCTTCCTTCAGGATTCCAAGTTGTCGCTTGCCTCTTGATGCAGTCTGATGATTTCCCCAATGTATGTCCTATCCACTTCCAACATCTTTTACTAATTCTCTCTTCAGTTCAAAGCTGGTCTTTTCTCTCCAACAGTTGACTGTTGTTGATGGCATCCGGTCAACAGACATTGATTATCTTGAGTAGACAATTGTTTGCAAATATTTGTACTTTTTCGATGATGGTTGTAGTAGTTCTCCAAGTTTCAGCTCCGTACGGTAGAACTGTTTTGACGTTCGTATTAAAGATTATGACTTTGATGTTGGCTTTTTATTTTGAGTTTTATATGTTATTCAACTGTAGGAATGCAGACCATGCTTTGCCAATCCTTGCCTTTACGTCTGCATAAGATCCTTCTCGTTCATCGATTATTCTGTTCAGGTACGTAAAAGACCCCACCTTTTCCAGAGCTTCTCCATCAAGTGTGGTTGGGTTGATGTTCTCTGTGTTGTGTTTGAGGATGTTGCTTTTTCATTTGTGTATGTTGATGCCTACTGATGCGAAGGCTGCTGCTACAGCGATTATGTTGACCTGCACTTACTGGTTTGTGTGGGATAGAAGAGCCAGGTTACCTATGAGGTTTAAATCGCTAAGTTGCGTACAAGCTGCTTATTGTATTCCGTGCCCTCCCTCAAATGTGAAGGTCTTCATAATCCAGTCAACCTCCAGAAGAAAGAGAAGAGGAGGAGAGTAGGCAGCTTTGCCTGACTCCGGTTCTCATTTAGAATACATCTGTGAGCTACCCTCCATGAATGACTTTGCAGTGTAATCCATCATAAGAGTTCCGTATGATGGTGACAATCTTCTCAGTTACATCATAGCGTCGAAGAGGGTTCTATAAGCTTCTCCTATCCACACTGTCAAGGAAGTTGACATATAGTGACGAGTTCCATTCAAACGATTGTTTAAAAATGATCCGTAATGTTTCAATTCGGTCTGTACACGATCGATTCTTACGGAATCTGTCCTGTTGATCACAAAGTTGGGCGTCTACTTGATATTTCATCCGGTTCAGCAACACTGCTGAAAACCTTTCCTGGCACTGACAGTAGTGTGATGCCTGTGTCGTTCCCACATTTACTCCGATCTCCTTTCTTTGGCATCTTGATGAGATATCTTTCTTTCCAGACTGTTAGCACTTGTTCGTCCTCCCAAATCGTCCTAAATAGAACGTGGAGCATATTTGCAGTTGCTTCTATATCTGACTTCAATACTTCAGTCGGTATACTGTCAGGTTCTACTGCTTCCCCACCCTCGACATGTCTGATGGCCATCCTGATTTCTTCCGTCGTTGGTGGAGTGACTTCTATAGGGGGGTCTATAGGTGCTACTTCAATATCCGGTGGATTCAATGGAAATGGTCTATTTAAGAGTTCCTCGAAGTACTCTACCCATCTGTTCTTCTTTTCTTGAATCTCAATGATTGAATTACCTTCTTTTCACGTGACTGGTCTCTCTGGTTTACTATATTTCCCCGTCAATTTCTTCGTTGTGTCATAAAGTTGTTTCATGTTTCCTTCTCTTGAAGCTTCTTTCGCTGTCGTTGCTAGCTCTTCCAAGTATTTCTGCTTGTCAACCCTAATGCTCCTCTTCACTTGTTTGTTTGCTCCTGTGTATTCAGCTTGTGCCTTGACTTTCTTTTCTCTTGTTCGGCCGTTGTTAATTTCTGTCTTCTTTTTCTTTCTTTCTTGAATCCTTTTCAGGGTTTTGATAGAAATCCATTGCTTATTATGATGCTCCTTGTGGCCCAGTACTTCCTGACACTTTGAAGTTAGTGCTTATTTGATCCCTTTTCAGTTATCCTCCATAGTAGTTTTTTTCCTGTGAGTAGATCTTGTTCATCTTGAAATTTTTTCTTGTTCGGCTGTTGTTAATTGCTGTCTTCTTTTTCTTCTTTTCTCGAATCTTTCTCAGAGTTTGGACAGATATCCATTCATTATGATCGGAACCGTAGTAGGTGGCAAAAGTTTTAAAATCATCGGCCTAATATTTAGATATTGCATGTATGAACTACGTGATAATAGAACAATAATGATTATTTTTGCTATTGTAACTGATATAGTGATGAAAGAGAACGTGCACAAAAATGTTATGAAGAGAAGCTAAACAAAGTTGAAAAACACAGAAATCAAATTTTGAAAGAAAAAGAAAGAAATATGATTACGGCCCAGTAAGCTTCATAGATGAGTAAACGTAATTATACGAATATATATGATGGTTTTACAATCAATATTCATTGGAATTTTAAAAAGATAAAGAACTCATTATCGCTATTAATGTTAAGCGGTTGAAGGTATTAGGTAGTAATCTTAGACTTCTTACTTCATTCTTGTCAATAATCAATACTTTTAATCTCCAAATTATACATACAGTTCTTTCAAAAATAGTTATGTCTTCTGAAAATTGCTTGGATTTGAACTCGTGGTTCCCGTCCATAATCGAGTAATCAGACTCTTCACCTCAGTCATCCTAGAATATTATCGAATCGGTTGTTTTGTCATGATTCATACTTTTGAAAGAATATACGATTTTTTTGTAAGTCGCTCAGCATTTTTACAATATCGCACGACTAATGTCACGGATTAATTGGAGTCAAATCTGTGCTCCATTGAATCCCGACTCAGTGGTCCAGAAGTTGAGCGTGAGACTCAAGATTCTGGGTTTGATCTCCGGTTACGGAGTCGTAAGTGCCCATTACTGAATCCCATACCAGGACAAAGTGGCTGCCTAGCGCTTCCAAATTTTCACTGGTTGTTTAATTTGGATCGGTTCACGATCACAATAAAATTCAACATTCTTCATAACCCTATACTGATAAAACTTGTGCATGAATAAGGTCTCCTACCAAGTCAATTAGTTACTGAAGAACGATATGATAAAGATAAACAGTCCATAAGTACTGGCCAAATTTACTTGACTACCTAAACATTATTTATGTATTCACTAAAGTATAGTTAGAATTGTAGTTGTATGATCACACTTTCAAATACTTTTCTGTAAAGTATTTGTGCTCTGACTAATTTAAAACCGTAATTAGTAATCATTGTTCCATCAGATGATCAAAGTATAAACTTTGTTTCTAAAGTTCAGATTGGGTCATTTTTCAAGAGGGCCTATATCAGTTACAAACCATTGAACCTCTTAAGTTTGACTTCATGTAGACTGATATTGCATACTGCTAAGGAGCCAGAAACGTAACTAAAACATTTTACATCCCTTATTAGAGGTTCAACAACCTGCCCACTTTATCTCAAGGTAGTATTAGAAATGTTTTTTAATTAAACGCACCAGACAGATTGACAGGAAACTTGGTGCTTCTTAACCATAATTGAAAACTTTTTCAGTTATGAACGTGCAAGAAAAGTTCGTCAAGTTCTAGAAAGAAGAAAACAATTAAGGAAAATGATTGAAGAATATAGAAAAGAACTGTACGAAGCTCGAGAACAAGTAAGCCAACATTATCGAAATACTTAACGATATTATTCATATGGGCAACATAAATACGAAATTTCATCGACGTTTTGTCATTTAATAGAATTTAATCACATTTATAATAACGACCTCTTATCAATAAAATAAAAGCCGGGCAGCCAGCAATATTCAATATGCAGCCTGACATAAATACGTGTTAGCTCAATTTGTCTTTTAAAATCAATAGTAAAGGATGACAGTAAAGTAGTCGAAATAATTATAATAGAATTGATAATGAGAAAAACTTAAAATTAAGAATATAGTTTAAGAAAAAACTGAAACTCCATCCGTTATCATTAGGTGTACCATTTTTCTTCCACTTTGCTCAGCTATTTTCCATCCTGATGGGCAGTTGATTGGAGGTCTATATCTTACACTTGTTGGTAGAACATGCTGGCGAAGACACTCATGGAGAAAATATAGTTGTCCTCGAGTGGAAGCATGCCTTTTGGCGAAATTCTCCCATTTTCTCGTTGTTCGAAAAAAAGGATAATAAGTGAATGAATTTACCACAACGTAATTGATTTCGAATCATATCATTCAACGCTTCCACTACCTGATATCACATTTATCATGAGAATAAGACAAAATCTACATAGTAAATAAAATAATATTAAAATAATTCACTTGGTGTTGTCTAATTGTATCTTCTCATTATTATTTAGGACTGCAATTGATCAGCCTCTTGTTGACATATATGCATCCTGTGCAGACTGCCTCGATATTGCCTTAGGTCATAAGCAAAGATGGATAGTGAATAACGTGATGGCGTGTGAATCAAACGGTACTGGGTCCGAGTCCCAAAGTGAACATCAACTCTGAGATGCAAATACATCCAACTGACGAGTCACAAATAGGACGATACGCGTGTCCTGAATTCCACTGCTAGCCACTATCCATCTTTGCTTATAAAATATAAAATAATGTTTAATATTTGCTAGGAAATCCATCCAGATTGACGACATATTCTAGACATTTAAAATCCATGTATATGTACTTGATCATCAAATATAGCGACGAGTTAACCTATTATTCAGTATTCTGGAATTGAGATTATTGACATTAAAATGTATCAATTGAATTTTCGGAAAGATGCCGTGATCAAAAATATTCAGAAGTAAGCTAGCAGTCTATCTTGTTTGTTACGTAATAACTGATTATAAAATTTTGTTTGAAATATCTAGTTTGCAGCTTTTAACCTAACAGTGAGTGGATTAGGAAGATTGAAAATTATCTAAATAACAATTAAACTAAACGTCTTTTTACGGTTATTGAAATAACCAATGAAATTAATAGTGAATTTTTAACTTATAATTATATTAATAGGTAAATATTGCTTTAAATTATTTGTACGTACGATTTATCTAATGATTTGAAGTTATAATCAAATCAATTAACTCAGCTACTAATCTAGTTGAAGTCTCTTTGAAAAATAGCTCTTCCTGTCTCCCACACTGTACGAGCATCCCATGTACCTAAATTAACGATCGCTCTGGTTTTCAGGAGGAGCACCAGCTTCGTGAATTCCAAAGGAACTAGACTTTCATAATGAGGCGTCATAACTCTTCTAAATGAAGACCTTCTAACTCCCAGGGCAGAGTATAGATGGTTTGAATTAGCGTTTTTTAAGCGAGTTAGTTTTCTATGGGAAGGGGTTGCTAACCCCATACCCAACCCTTCTCCTTTATTCGGGTTTGGGACCGGCAGTAGATCCGGGGAGGCTCCTGGCGGAGTTTTGAAAAAATGACAGCATAATTAAAAAATACCTATCCTTGATCATTTATCAAATTAATCCAACGATAGATACGTTTATCGGTTTTCAGTCATTTGGTCGTGATCTGAGTGAAAACGCTCCGATGAACTTCTCAGCCTTCTAATAATACAGAACTTATTATCTAAAATGATTGAAGCGTTCGATGAGAATCACTCTGATTTTCTGAGTATTTCAGAATTATTCAGAAGAAATTTTGGAGGTACCGAACGATTGAGTTTTATGTAGTCATAAAACACGTGAATTAAGGAATATATGTACTACCGAAATTTTGTTTGTGAACGTTAAAAACAGTGAAACGCCTATAATTTCAATTCGCTTGGTATTGTTTGGCTTGCATCTTCCTATTGAGGTTTAAGATTGCAATTGACGAGTCTTAAATAAGATGAAACGCGCGTCCTGGATTCCACGGCTAGCCAGTATCCATCATTGCTTACATAAAGTCTGTAATTTCTCTTTACATTGGATAGATATTTGAAAATATAACTAGTATCTCTGAGTTTGTGCAACCCATCCAACTTATTTTCATTATTTTTGAATGTACAGTCTATACAAAGAGCTATGGAACGTGTATCCTGTAGATTATCAGAAGAACAGAAAAGATTAGCTTCAGAACGAAGACAAAAACAAATGCAAGTTGAAGAAAATACAAAAGAGTTAGTTGAAATATATTGTCATTTAATGAAAGTTGAGTTTTATAACTGATTAACATCAATTGAAAAATCATTAGGTATATCGATAAATATTTGTAAATTATTCTGTGCAGTTTTAGTGAAATGAGCAGCCTATACTCCTTCGTGGGGGGCAACAGGCGTAAGCGAAGTAAGTTTTAATGAAAATTGAATTTGTAAGATAATTTAGTAGAATTCAACGGTATCAATCACTTACTAACGCAGTTAATTTTCATATCAAGAATAAGACTCCGAACTAGCATGGCCCAATGTATGTTTATGTTTTTCTTTTACAAAGAACTATTAGATTGTAAATTCAGCAAGTTATCTGGGCAAGCTACTGATCTGAATGTAGTACTTATTTATTCGAATTTTTATGCTACCTACTACTATTGCTTCAACATTTTTCTCATTAAGTCATGGTGATTATATAAGCGCCAACGGAATTTCGGCGCGACCAAACAAAGACCAATCATCGATACACCTGCTTCTTTGAAAGCATATTTTCAATGTTCTTGGAAGTTAAAAAGAAAATCATCGAAGAATTCATATTTTTATCTCATTTAGATGTCCTTCTCAGTAATATATTAATATTCTCCAATTGACAGTGAGTATAGTTGTTCATCAAACATTTACTCTCAAAATCGTAGATATCGAACATATTTTTAGTGTTTTACCTTCATCAGAAGGAAGAAGAAACTACTATGGAGGACAACTGGAAAAGTATCAAAGAAGCATTAACTGCAACGTGTCAAGAGGTTCTGGGTCTAAAGAAGCACCATCATAAGGAATGGATCTCTATAGAAACACTGGACACGATCAAAGAAAAGAACAAGAAGACTGAAATTAACAACAGCCGAACACGAACAGAGAAAGTTCAAGCACAAGCTGAATACATAGAAGCAAAAAAGCAAGTGAAGAAAAGCATTAGAGCCGACAAGCAGAAATACGTGGAAGAACTAGCAACGACTGCAGAAAATGCTGCAAGAGAAGGAAATATGAAACAACTTTACGAAACAACAAAGAAACTAACAGGGAAATACAGTAAACCAGAGAGACCAGTCAAGGACAAAGAAGGCAAGCTAATCACTGAAATTTAACAACAGCGAAACAGATGGGTAGAATACTTCGAGGAACTCCTGAATAGGCCGGCTCCAATGAATCCACCGGAAATCGAAGCAGCAAACATAGATCTTCCTATAGATGTCAGTCCACCAACGATGGAAGAAATCAGAATGGCCATCAGACAAATCAAGAGCGGGAAAGCAGAAGGACCTGACAATATCCCAGCTGAAGCACTGAAGTCAGACATCGAAGTAACTACAAATATAATTCACCTTCTATTTAAAAAAGATTTGGGAGGAGGAACAAGTGCCGATGGACTGGAAAGAAGGACACTTCATCAAGATTCCAAAGAAAGGAGATCTGAGCAAATGTGAAAACTACAGAGGCATCACACTACTGTCAGTACCAGGAAAAGTCTTTAACACAGTTTTGCTGAATCGGATGAAAGATGCAGTAGACACCCAACTTCGAGATCAACAAGCTGGATTCCGTAAGGATCGGTCGTGTACAGACCAAATTGCGACACTACGGATCATCGTTGAACAATCAGTTAAGTGGAACTCGTCAATGTACGTCAACTTCATTGATTATGAAAAGGCATTTGACAGTGTAGATAGGAGAACGTTATGGAAACGTCTTCGACACTACGGAGTTCCTGAGGAGATTGTCAATATTATCCGGAACTCATATGACGGACTACAGTGCAAGGTCGTGCATGGAGGACAGCTGACAGATGCATTCCAAGTAAGGACCGGAGTCAGACAAGGCTGTTTACTCTCCCCCTTCCTCTTTCTTGTAGTGGTCGACTGGATTATGAAGACCTCGACATCTGAGGGAAAACACGGAATACAATGGACAGCTCAGAATCAATTAGACGATTTAGACTTCGCAGATGACCTGGCCCTTTTATCGCATACACATGAACAAATGCAGATAAATACAGCCAGTGTAGCAGCAGTCTCTGCATCAGTAAGCCTCAGCATACACAAGGGGAAAACCAAGGTCCTCAAATTCAAGGCGGAGAACAGCAATCCAATCACTATTGATGGCGAAACTCTGGAAGATGTAGAATCCTTCACATACCTGGGAAGCATAATCGATGAACAAGGAGGATCTGATGCAGACGTAAAGGCAAGGATTGGCAAAGTATGGTCTGTATTCCTACAGTTGAATAACATATAAAACTCAAAATAAAAAGCCAACATCAAAGTCATAATCTTTAATACGAACGTCAAAACAGTTCTACCGTACGGAGCTGAAACTTGGAGAACTACTACAACCATCATCGAAAAAGTACAAATATTTGCAAACAATTGTCTACTCAAGATAATCAATGTCTGTTGACCGGATGCCATCAACAACAGTCAACTGTTGGAGAGAAAAGACCAGCTTTGAACTGAAGAGAGAATTAGTAAAAGATGTTTGAAGTGGATAGGACATACATTGGGGAAATCATCAGACTGCATCAAGAGGCAAGCGACAACTTGGAATCCTGAAGGAAGGCGGAAAAGAGGAAGGCCAAAGAACACATTACGTCGGGAAATCAAAGCAGATATGGAAAGGATGAATAACAACTGGAACGAGCTGTAAAGGATTGCCCAGGACAGGGTTGGATGGCGAATGCTGGTGAATGGCCTATGTTCCTTCATGAGGAGTAACAGGAGTAATTAAGCTAATCAGAATACATAACGAACATACGCCTTCCCAGTAATGATCATAATTTGTACAGAAAATGCAAGTAACAAACTCATATTATCAAGTGAACGTATTCATGAGTTTGCTAACCATTGCTACTTACAATGTAGAATTTTAAGAGTTTCACCATAGAAATAAGACAATAATAAATTGCATTCTTATTTAAAAACTAAGATATTAGAAAATTTTAAACCCAACCACTTAAAGTCAGAAATTAAGTAAACACAACGCGACTTGACCGGTAGAGTTCGGCTGATGCCAAGGACTAGACAAATAGGATATTGGTAACTTCTCACTACCAAATTTCAGAATAATAGTAAATTACTTAGTAAGTATTTTGCTAGTGAAATTAAGTCTAAACATTAATTAAAATCAAATTAGATTTATCATTTCACGTTTTGGGATACCATATACTACATATAAGAAAGTAATGTTGGTAATCTTAACGTCTTCTGGAATCACCATTTTAGTGAACAAAAACGTTATTTATTTTGTAAATTATGTTTAACCGCAAACTTTGATTATTATTATCAAAAGAATACAACGCAGAGAACAAGAAGTACGAAAGGCAGCTGAATTAGCTTTACGACAGAAAGATGAACACATACGTCGACTAATTGAAGAAAAAGAAGCTAGGATTCAGCAAGTGAGTATTGTTTTCATTATAATAAATGTAGCCTTTAATTCTACACATTTACCTAACTCCTGGAAGGTATATTAGTACTTCACAATTGATTCGTTAGTTTACACTGGGATAACATTAAACTCTACCTGGTTAGGAGACTTACGAGTTCCTGGACAGTACGGGGATTAGCTAGTTAAATACATGTTTAAAATCACACGATTCCGGATAGATCACATCAAATGATTCTTGCAAGTTGTCTATAACAGACATATCAACCTCGCTATTTTTTTACAGTTTGGTTAGACATACCGGCCATGTTACCTTTTTTCAACCCTTGAATTTCCAAGAATAAATTTCCCAACAGTAACCCCAATAATAATAACCACCAAAAATAAAATAAGATGAAGGGTTGTTTAAAGAATTTTTGATAAAACCCGTTAGTTCTGATCATGCGTTTCACGTCCACCATACTTATACTCATTCGGAAATACTTTAGGAAAGTTAAACAGAACTAAATTTGTTAGACTGGCTCTTAAAATAGTTCAGCATAATGTACTCTGATTATATGCTTTTAATAAGCTATAAACTAGTGACCTAATATTCGTACATAAATTAACTGAGACGTTATACAAAGAACAATGGTCTGATACAACATACTTGTATAAGGAAATAAACCCATGGTGTCTGTGCACTAATGATTGACTTTTCTCAAAATGTGTATCTGGGTTAGAAACGCGATTGTATTCTGCAGTCCATAGTTAGATAACATTATAAACCTGTTACCTATGTTTTAAGTTACTGAACCTCAGCAATATCTTAATAAGCAATCACCAATTTAAAATCAACTCTATTTGGTATTCCTTCTATATCAGCGTAAATTAGAATTCTTTTCCATCCGAAAATAGCATCTAAATTAGACAGCTCATTATCAATACCATTAAATACACTATATAATGATCTTGTTTTAAATTATAACGATGTGTTAAAAACACAACTGAAAATCATAAACTTTGTATCACTTGCCACACTAATGATTGGTAAGAGTTCTCTTTATTTATTTTTTAGCACAAAATAATCAACAATAATAATATCACTAAATTACAAGTTACCATATAAATTGTTACAGTGAATAATAGTTGTTCATTGTTTATTTATTTATTTTACGTAGTCAAGAAATTTGGCGTTAGCAGCTGAATGTCTACGTGAAGAAATGTTACGTGTTTATAATCTGGATAGTTTTGATAAAAAAGTTCAAAAAGTCACATTGATCAATGAAATGGGATTAAATGGAAAACAATAATGATATCATTGTTTTTTTTTCTGATTGATAACACACAAACATATTACGTATTTCAATTTGACAATAGGATTAATGTACAACAATTCTACTTTTATATAATATACCTACCTATGTGTATACAACGGTCTATACGTAAACTTATACACTGTGTTCAAATGTTCTGTGGTGTTTTTTTTCTTCAATGTATTTACACTGTTTTCATTTTCAGTTTGTCACAATCCTGGTGATATCAGCAAATATTCGTTAATGTTGATTGCAACAATAATTCTGAGAAACACTATTAACCTAATAATAATTTTATCTATTTCAATAAACTTAATACTTCTGTTTTATCAATACAATAGTTTTTTCTTATTATTTCTAGGATGTTTTGAAAACTATTTATCGTATGATTATTGTGATGAAATTCCCATTTACCTTGTTGAAGAGTGAATTAGCTTTTTTCACGTACTGATACTAGCTGAAGAACCTTCAAATAATCAGATAGCAGTTTCTTTGTAGTTTTCGGGAGGGGAGCCTCGTCAGTGCTAATTGTTATCTTCTTAAGATTTACCTTTGTATTTAAAAATATATTCATAAAGTAGTCTTAATGTGTTTTTCCGTATACTTTATTTCACAGAGATACGATTAAAAAGCTGTATCTACAGAGGATTTAAATAGTTAGGAACATTTTCCTTGTCGTATAGCAACTGATAAATTGTCTAATTAAATTAAATGAGTTGGATTAAATAAGGTATGAAAATTAACATAACTGATAAAATTATGAAGATTTAAACTAGACGGCTGATAGTTATAGATAATAAATGAGATTTACGGTAAATTTCTATAGGCAATCTCTGTCAAAACTATCGATAGCGTTAAACCTGATTTAAAAACAACTAGGGATCATTATGTACATCCAAAGAAATATGTTTTATAGAATTTTAATTCATAATGACTACATCGCCTAGTGAAACTAACCAATGATCCTGATTTAGACGAGTAAGTTATCTGGAACTTGGCACTACATAAAAACACACTTTCTGTCCATCGATTGTGAGTCCTTTTTCCTGAACATCGTCTATGCAATCGGAAACATTTTTACTGACCACCTGTTTTGTTTTTTAGTAAAAATTAATTTGAAGATTTGTTGTTGTACAATTTCGGAATTGCATTCCCACAATTACCTTATTCATTTTGGAAGCAATGGCATCCACCAAACGTTTAAATATGTCCTTACCAAACGTTGAGAATGAGTTTAGGCTTATAGTTTCTCGATGTTTATTAGATTCGAAAGTCCTTTCCATCATCGGTCAATAATAAAGGAATACTCACTGAAGATTAGTCCTCAAGAAATTTTCTTACTGATAGACTTATTTGACTTGAAAAGTCTTTTATTTACTAAAAAACCAACAGCAGGCACACAATCACCACGCCGCAAATGTACGATCAATATGATGCCGTGTAATCACTCAAAATGAAATTGAGATATGGTGAGAAGACTGTGATACACATGTGTTGTTTGTATCATTTGGATATATATTCACCTAATTACGAGTATCGAGAAACTAAATGTCAATAAGAGCATGGTGGATACTTCCATGAATCATCTTTACATTATTTAATATGGCGAGGAATCAACTTACGTGTATGGCTTGTACTTAAACTACTGTTGAGGAACTAGCTGTTCATACGAGACGTGTTAAGAAAACAACTTATCCAAAATCAGCAATTAAGTACCTCTATACGATGACTGTACAACATTGATATCTGTATTCAGTTTGTCTGTATCAATTGAACATACAATCGGTATGACGGTCAAAGGAATCACAAATGACTAATCCATTTGGAATTCAACTCTATGTTAACATAATTCTGTAGCGAATATGCATTGAATGTTTAAGCAGTTGACCGGAAGTGTCTCCACCTAGCGAAAATTGTGAAACCCAAACTCGTCCCCCACGAGATCCGAACCCACTGCTGAGGAGTCCCATACTAGGACGAAACGGTTTCCCAGTGCTTCCAGGTTTTCCATGGTGGTCTAACTTCAATTGGCTCATGATTTCAGCTATTGAAACTTCTGAAATCTCCAAAAAACCTCTTCTCATTATATTATTTGGCTAACGACTGACGAAACTAACAAGTGCTTTAGGCCGAAATATGTGCGTATAAATAACATATTTTTTTACTAAATACTATCTTGTTCACATTGTCATTTAATTAGTCGTCAATCAATTTACAAAACATGATCTATTTATGTAAGAAAGTTTCCAAATTGAATGACAAATGTTTTTTACATTATAAATTAACATTAAAAGATGTCAGCTTAATTAAAGCCTAAATGTGTTCTTTTTAATGTTGTACAATTAAAAAACATGATAAGTATTGCAAACTTTGTCTATAGGTTAAGATTTCTTAAAGAAAAGCATATATTATATTTGCACGAAATCTAAATTGTTACAAACTTGTGACATTTATTCCACTAATTCCTTCATGAACAATGCATATATTGGAAGATAGAAGCGATAATTTAAACAAAATGGCATAATAAAAGACAACTTTATACACAGAAGTTACATGAAAAAAAAAGAAATCAATAAGAAAGGAAAATAAATTAATTCGTTCTTACGTATAAGACAGAAAGATATACTGCGAAAGTAGTTTTAAAGCTTTTTAATTTCTTGGAATTTTCAACTGAGTGTTGCGGTATGGATTATATATATATATATATATATATATATATATATATATATATAGTTGACCGGAGAGTAAAATTATGCATTTAAGTTTTTCAAATTACATACCAGGAAACATGATAAGTGGTTCACCTTTTGATGATACACATTGGATAAATCCACCTTCTGCATTAGTGGCGGTGCATTCATTTATCTGATTTGAAGGATAATTACTGACAGGGCAACGTGTGTCAACTAATACGGACAAATTAGAAGTTTGACTTAATGCATGAATTATAGAGGCAGATGTGACCATCGAATTACTAGATACATGATTTAGATTATTTGTTTCAATATTTTCATTGGAAACGAAAGTCGGGACAGATGTGGCTAGTGATGAAACTGGAGTTATGTAGGTGAGAGAGGTTTGAAGGGAATCAGAATGATTTCCAAATACATCAATGCTAGAGTCTGAATTAGACTGGGGAGTAACTTCGGGTGTAGAAGATGAAGAAACTAAGGAAGTTAAATCATTTCCACCAATTAGATTTACAGTAGAAGCATCTTTGGGATTAGTTGACATATCAAGCAGATGTTCGCTAGAACTAACTGATTCTTTAGTAATACTTTCAGAATCATCATTAATACTTGATTTAGACAAAGTCAAACCTCGACGACGAAAGACAGAGAGATGACTGCCTCCAGTTACAAGTTGTTTATAAACGGCGCATGATTTTCTGAAATTGAAAAAAAGGATGCGTTATTAACAAAAATAAGAGAATCATGAAATTTTACTAAGACAATATGCAGATAGTTTCTCATTTTCATTTAGACTATGATGCCATCGGAAATTTGGTGCACCAGAGGCGTAAAACGCAGACTTACATTTTCATAAATACGAAGTTTGCGTGCTCCAATGGTAATATCCCTCTCGCCGGGGAAATACAACTAATACCTTAACGTAGTGATGGAGCATGGCCAAAAATACCTCTTTCTTTAGTTCTTGCTTTAAACGCTAGGTCAATTGGGAAGCAGAAAGCAGAGGCATCATGGTCTGAGGGCGACCGTTCATTCAGGGATAGATGGTATTATGGTTTTTCCCTTGGAAAACTCGCATCTCCACGGTTGCTAGCTTCCCACAACAGGAGGGAGAGGAGATCGGAAAAGGTTAATCACATGGATTCTTGTAGGCAGTAAGGTTTGAAAATTACTGACTCAACACACCAAAATCTACACCATAAAAATCCATATGTGGCCGGCTGAAAGCAGATATTCCTTGGACTTTGTGTTCGCGTTTGAAAGTCATAAAGACTCTCTCTAATCCATTTTAACCTTTAGGTTTCTTAAGTATTATTTAGCTTTGTGGGCTACGAGGAAGTAACAGATTCCCTCATATCTTTAGGAAATATCCGAGGTAAATGTGTCAACAATTGAAACACTTGTTTAGTTTTTTCCTTTTTCTTCGACTTCTCCCACAAGTAACACCAGTTTCGACATTTCGATCACACAAACGTTATCACATGCTCATTGAAACACCGCTTCAAACTACATAATTGGGTTTTAAATATGTAAACATATATAAAGTCGAATCGGTGAACTTGCGACAGAATTAAGAACTGAAACTGGTGTTAGTCATAATTAAGGACTTCCATTTTTAGTTAACTTCAAAATAGACATTATTTCAGAAATAACTATTTGTTGGCATGCGTCCATAAAAATCCCTTAGCTTTTACCGAATGGTGTAGCTTGTGGCATAGACGAGATGTTTATTTTTCAACGGATGGATAAGTATGCTATACAGCAACCCAACGCATGCCATCGCAATGCCGTGAAACGTAGTTTGGGATAGTAGACCAAATTGAAAGCTACTAGTATTAGACTATAGATGTCTTTGAAGCAGTTTTCTCAAGTCACTGCCTAGCTTGATAAACAATGCACCCGGCATAAAATTAGGCTGAGAGCTAGAGAAGGGCAAACAAGCAGGTGGCATTAGTCCATGAAGATATTAACTGTTTGACTGAACCATGTAGATAGATGTAGACCGTTTGGTTGGGGTCGACGCAGTTATCGCAACTAATGGTTAGATGCTTCAGGTGATATAGCTCAAAATTACAAGTGGGTCAGGTGCGTTGTATTTGCCTTCTTTTAGATCTTTAGTTTCTAAATTACCTTACAAAAGGATCCCCTCTTTCCTCCTTATTCCACTAATCCATATTTTCTTCTCGAACCGTATTATCTATGCCTAGTCTCTTTTATTACTTTATTATTGTTACTACTCTAGGATTTACCTTGACAATTTCATCTCGATGTACTAGTTGGATGTGGCAAGTGAAGCCGATGAACACGCATCAGGTTATACGTTGGATATAACTGGTTTATTCTGCAATATGTGGTCTTTCAATATCACTGATACTACGATTATTTCGAACTTTTTGTTATGTATCTTGTTTGAGTAATCTCCCTGTATTGACGCAGGTTGGTAACTTGGGCTGACATTTGCTTCAGGCTCCATCTCGATTATAAGTGACTGAAAAATATCTATTGTTAAACGACCTAAATGATTATGACTGATGCAACAAATATTAATAGGTTGGTGGGATAAACTAATCAAAACCGTAAGATACAGAAAGCGAAAATTACGGGTGTGTCACTCATTTTACACCCACCGCTAAGTACAAGTGTAGATATTTGGTTTTGATTAAGACTTAGTGAAAGGGCTAATTATACTGTCCAGCCGAACAAACTGAAGTAGGTGAAACAGGGTCTGAAAGAGGAACACAGCGGTCTTGAATCAATCGACTTAACAACTAGGCCACTAATACACACTATATAGCTGACTGAGGTCACCGAATTCTCATGTGATCGTCGCTGTAATTATTTTTACAACATTAAGGTGCTTTTAGAAGTAATACAAATGTACATAATTTTGTCGTTAAAATCTGAAACTTACCACGAATTCACATTAATAAGAAAACTTACAAGTAATAAACTCAGGATTTAGAAATTCAAGTACAATATGTTTAAAATACAACTTAAGTGCCCCACTAGTTTAACTTGTCTAATTGGGTTCCTTCGTCGATGGCTTAGTATGTCAGATTCTTAAGTAAGTCATAAAAATTCGGCACAACCTTTTGGACATTGTGAGCAAAAAATTAAGTCCTAAGCCAAACTTAGTATTTAAATAATGAACTAGAACGCAGATTGAATATGAGGAATTTACGCAATTTGTCATTCACAAAATATTATTTCTGTTAGCAGCCGGACCGGTACTCATCACTAACCTTATCTCAGGAAGAAATATATATGATATTTATATAAAAATCACAATTATATACAAACTATTAAAGACACGGAAGAGTGGGCATATTGCTTTCAGTTAGAAGAGTTGATTAATGAAAAACTTAACGGTAATATTGGAATTTGGCGATGCACAAACTGCAGGTGGAATTCATAAAATGACTACAGGATATACGCTATTTCTAAATGTTTTACGTATATCAATGATGTAACAAACGTTCGTTTCACCAAAACTTCTATGGAGAAAGCCATTCTGATAATAATGAGAAACAACAAACACCTTCATTTCAAAAGGCTTTAAGAATGGAACAAACAGCCTGTCCAACTACTCCTTAAAATAACTTATTCAGTTAAAACCTATAACATTGCACTTGGTCACACAAACACATTTTTTATTTGGACAATGAAATGGAAAATACTTTCACTACGAAGACACACTAAATTACATAGAATACTAACCTATGTGCATAGAAATTCGATCTCCATTTACAAACACGGCCACATGGGCAAGTTAATTGCAAAGATTTGGAACAGGAGAAAACATGTTCAGCAAAATACTTTCGTTTGTGATAAGCGTTGCCGCAGTGTGTACATTTATATGGCATTAAACTTCGGTTGACTTGGGATGCTTAAAGAGTAAAAATAATTAAATAGCAAAAAATCTAATGATTACAACTAAGATGAGATCCCCTGGAAAATCGACCACTTTCTGTTCCAACCTAGATAAACAAAAATGAACACGTATTCAACCAACATTAAATGAAAAAACTTACTGAATGAGAACTCATTTCGCCATCATCTTGATTAAGATCGACAAATGCATTTCGTTTATCACCCATAAACAACGATTTTGCATCATGGAAATTGTAATTTAATCCTAATTGATTGAAGTAATTAATTGAAATAAGAAAAAACAAATAATACTAAGAACCTGATGAATAATCGTAAGTTAAATGCTTGGTCAAATTTGGACTGGCATTTTTGATACCATGAAAAGCGAAATAATGTAAGGTTAAATTTTTAACTTCTTTAGCTTTGAATGAACAAAGCAAGCATTCGTACATTGCTTCCCCAGTAAAGATTGGATTTCCTGAATGATTCTGATATATACACTGAATAGACACCTATAATCATATACAAGAATGTTAGTTCATTTAAAATCAACAAACTCACCTCCTTTTCTATATGATTGATTAAAGAATGTTCCGTAAGAACGGGACAAGATGTTGATATTAATTGACAATGACGACACTGATACAAACTAAACAAACAGTTTGCACTTGAGTGGGCAGTCTTGAAGTGATTGATGAGATTTGATAAAAGAAGTGTATTGAATGAGCAATATGAACAGTGCAATACAAGTATACAATTCTGGCTTATCATTGGGCATTGCATTGCAACACCGAATCAAAAAAAGGACCTGAAAAGTAAATAAATTTATAATACATTGGTAGTACAGAGGAAATTATTTTTAAATGAAATTTAACAACACCGAAAAAGCTTGTGGATACAGCCAAACACAGTTGAAATCATTGTCACTCAGCTGGTCAAACAAACGTCGCCAGTGATATGAACTTCTCTGATGATCGTACATTTAACCGGACTGTAACCTCTATCATATAATTTTCCCGTTTCCCTGTTCTTGGTTGCACTGCCTCCCTTATTTGTTTCTTCACAATATAATTTCTCTAGCTGTATGGCACATATTACTTCTGATGTCCAACTGTGACAGATTTCATAGGAATTATTCAGATAAGTAAAACCATCACTTTATGAGTCAGATTTCTATAACAGCCTGATATAATTGGCTTTTTTGTCAAAGAAAACGGGCTACAAAGCTTAGGGATCTATCTCTAAATTTGAATGCGAACTAACTCGTCTTATTTATTAGTATGGGATCGAGGAGAGTAATAGTTTTTTGACTGAAATCATGAATCGATTTATGTCAGACCACTGAAAACCTGTAAGTACTGAACGGCCGTTTCGTCCTAGTATGGGACTCCTCAGCAGTGCGCATCCACGATCCTGCTCGCGAGACCTATAGACCAGTGAACCGGCATCCAGCAGTGTTAATGTCTAACTTCAATCAATCTACGAAACTACGCAACCATCTTCCATTGTCTGAGATAAATACCTGCCTCCACCTGACGTGTTAACAATTTCCAAAACTCCATACGGACAACCAACAGGTGCGCACTAGAGACTAGCTTCGTGAGGGGATTCTCGGAGTTTTAGGGGGATGTGACGTGGGGCTGTCAGGTAGAGACAGGTATCTACCTCAGACAATGGTTGAGCAATTTCGTGGATTTATTGAAGTCAGACATTAACACTGTTGGATGCCGGCTTACTGGTCTATAGGTCTCGCGCGCGAAACTCAAAGTCTTGGGTTCGTGGATGCGCGCTGCTGAGGAGTCCCATACTAGGACGAAACGGCCGTCCAGTACTTCCAGATTGATTGATCAACTGTGAATACAGTCCTACAGGAGGTCGGTCGCGGCCCGGATAACCCAGTGGTAACGTCTCTGACTGTGAAGCTGGGTGACACAGGGTCGAATCCGTCCGGGAGCACCAGTTCCCCCAAGATTACAGGTACACCTTGCTGACGAGTGCCAAGTAGCACGAAACCTGAGTCCACGATTTCCTGTCGACTACTTCCAACCACCATCTTATCTCTATCGAAGTTCGGATAAAAGTAGTACACCCGATTGAGTGGTACTTTATGGGTCGCAAATAGATAAGTAACAAATAATCAATATCAACCTACACATTTGATTGGCCTTAGGATCCATTGTCAGACAATGTAAGAACTAGCACGAATGTGTGCCGATTTAAATTTTCATAAGCTTACACTAGCAGAACGAAAACTCAACAAGAGAATTAAAAGGAAGATTTATCAACTAAAACAGACTAGCAGTCGAGTCTAAGGGAATATTTACTACCTTATGAAAACAAATAATAATAAGTTTAGAAGCAAAAATCTTAGTAAAGTGATGTATTTACCAGCCACTGTTGAACACAGGCCAGTAACTAAATGAATACGGTAGTGACGAATTCGAACAACCGTAAACGTATTCATGGTCTGTGATTTATTATTTATTTGAACACATAAATATTGGTACAAAGGCGCACCGAACACATATGTGCCACACAAGTCAATTGATTTGTGTGGGCTGTGATACTGACCGGGTGCCCAGACCAAAGTAGGTGGTTTCCTTAGGAGGCCACGCCCAGAGCTTTCAACCTAAAGATCTGATCCACAAGGTAGTGGAGCAACGTCAGGAGATGCAGTCCCATGTTAGCCAATGACCAATAGTTAGTCCACATGCCATTTGTTCCCTTGGGATACTGGAGCCTATGTGCACCATTGGTCTGAAATCAGGGTCATCCAATTCCCCTAGGCGGATCTTCCGTACCCACCGACTCGGTTACAGCACCAGACATCCGTATTTCGTCTTCTCAATTTTGTAAACAACCCCCCCGTCACGAGAAGGCAGTGAGTAGGACTTTCCTGGCAGTGGCTGTATACGCGTGGCCAAGTGAGAGCGTTTCGAGAGGGAGAACTAACTCTTCCCACCCTCAGCCGTACCAAGGCATTGGGGGGGGGGTCAACATGTTCTACATCTACTATAAAAACATGCATATGTTTGCGTAATAGGCTTAGAGCCACACTTGCTATGAGGGTCGGCAATGGTACTTAGTTACCCAAACCAAAGTAGGTAGGACAGGGTTCAAGAATCCTGAAATATATCTACCCCAGTGCAAATACGAAAGGAGTTAAGTTAGTATCAGAGTTATAAAAACTAGCAGAAAAGGCAATGTTGTGATTTTCACACAGTAAGAAGATAAAAAGATGGTTATTATTAAACTAAGCGTATGCATTTCAGGAACTCGAAATGCATCCGTGGCTATTTATTACTCATAAAGAAGGACTCCATAGTGTAAGCCTCGAAGGCGACTATATGTGAAAGATTTCTAAGAACGGGAACGTTCCTTATGTTTAAACAACCGATGATTTTGAGGTTATGAACATAGCAAGTGAAAAAGGGGACATCAACAGGAATATGAAGGAATTTAGTTCAAAGTCTATTAAGCTTCAAGGCTGTTGATGAGTGGTAAGAACAAAACAGAACAACTGCCACTATTTACCAAAGAGCAAAATAAAATCGATGGAAAGTAAAACAATAAAATTATTGGTACCGAAACAAAATAGTACTTAAAAAATTAAGGAATGAAAGGTATGGAATGGTGCTATACCTAACCATATGAGACAGATAAAGTGAACAAATCTGATCCAATATATATTATTGAAGGATAAAAATTCCTGATTACCAATGTTAGATAGATAGACTCTATCCAATGTACCCAGTTTGAATGACAAAACAAAATAGCTAATGTCACAGCAATCATGTTTAGACTAATGTTTATGGTAACTGGATATGAGGGTAGGAAACCATTTCCAATTTGTGGTTTTACCATAGGCAGTTCTACAGATCCCTATGATCAAGAAAGCATAACCTACGTATGTTCTCTAATTCTGAACTCACGAAATACTACAGCCCAGAATGCTAAGTGGTACATGTACTTTTCAAAGAGAAGTTATGCATATTTGGAGTCACAAGTAGAGTGAATTAGCGAAAATTTAACAAGCAAGTCATCAGACCACTAGGGTTAATGCATCTTCTAGGGTAGGTATGTAGATAGACGTCTGTAGACGCAAAACTCACGGGTTTCAGCACGATATATGATGTAGTCAAAAGGCCAAAAGAAAGGCAACACAGTTTTACAATAAATCAGTAAGCTTGAAAACGAAATAAAAGCCTTAATAAGTGGCAAGTGATGGAGTAAAGATGACTGATGTCCAGAAATGTTATAAATACGAGGGGAATGATCTCTTCCTCGTAGCCCACAAAGCTAAATAATACTTAAGAAACCTAAAGGTGAAAATGGATTAGAGAGTCTTTATGACTTTCAAACGCGAACACAAAGTCCAAGGAATATCTGCTTTCAGCCGGCCACATATGGATTTTTATGGTGTAGATTTTGGTGTGTTGAGTCAGTAATTTTCAAACCTTACTGCCTACAAGAATCCATGTGATTAACCTTTTCCGATCTCCTCTCCCTCCTGTTGTGGGAAGCTAGCAACCGTGGAGATGCGAGTTTTCCAAGGGAAAAACCATAATACCATCTACCCCTGAATGAACGGTCGCCCTCAGACCATGATGCCTCTGCTTTCTGCTTCCCAATTGACCTAGCGTTTAAAGCAAGAACTAAAGAAAGAGGTATTTTTGGCCATGCTCCATCACTACGTTAAGGTATTAGTTGTATTTCCCCGGCGAGAGGGATATTACCATTGGAGCACGCAAACTTCGTATTTATGAAAATGTAAGTCTGTGTTTTACGCCTCTGGCGCTCCAAATCAATGACCGTGATAACTTTGTCAACTCATGGTTTAGAGAATAGGAGACTGATCGCACTGAGTGAATTATAACTATCACACCTCTGTGTGTAAGTAATAGATTTATGTATTGCACTAAGTCATGAGCTGGGATGTTTTTTCTAGAGCACAATGTCGGCAGTTATTGTTATGCCATCACAATAGAATATTGTGATACCGCATGTCTCTCAACATCATCAGGTCGAAGTAGCGCATAGTCACTACCCTAAGGTCTTGATAGTCAGATAATGTTCCTGGTTACGCAGTGTGACTCTTGCCTTATTTCTTTCAGACATAAATGGAAATCATATGAATTGGTAATGAGGTGAGTAATTGAATGGGAACACCGACATGACTGAAGTAAATGTCGTTTCCGAAAACTCACAGAGGCCTAGTAACAATAGCTTCATTAACATGATTTATGACTTATATACTCTAACGGCAAGGAAGTTTCCGCAGATCTTCGTGTGAGCTCTCTCGCACTGCATCCTGAAGTACTGTCTTTGTAGGCCAAGATGACTGATTAAAATCACGATAGAGTTCCTTCTAAATAACTGCTAGCAAGATAGTTATCTAAAGCATTACTGCAATCTATATGAGGTTAGGCGTGTTTCCAGATATAAGACGAGAACTGAGTGACTAAACTAAGCAGTTCATAAACATTCTAACGACTGTAACACAGCCGGCAACGTTATGAAAAGCATGTTATGGAACAATCACTGCTTAACAAAATGGTTCTAAAGGTGTACTGTATGATGGGTGTATCTAACCTGTGCGAAAAAGCGACAACACTTGTACTCGCTGGGGTATCATACGAAGAAATGAGAAATGTAAGTGCCCGCTTATATTCAAACGACTATACAAACTCTATTGAACATAAATAGTGAAACGTATGCCGTGAACTGTCAGAGATTTTTCTCAAGCTTGTAATGGATAAATAAATACTCTGACTCTTAAATAATATGAAGTAACAAAATAGTAATGCTAATAACTAAGTAAAAATCTTCAAAGTAATATCTCGCCCTGTCGTTGAACCTGTAGTAGTTATCGACCCTCTGTTGGCGAAATCACTAGAACGTCTCATCACAACCTTCTCAAGGAGCCGAAAATCAGGTTTTTTGACGGAATCACTGACCTGTTCGTTCCCAGGAATCTGTGTCCGATTGATAAGTGTGTGAATGTTGGTTATGAGAGGATATGATTGATGCCATAGTCTCTATAAAAAATGGGGAACAAAACAAGTTAGAAGACGATGGAAGTGAACAAGAAGCAACACGAGATGAAATCCTCTTGTGTACATTACACCAAAGGTCTTTTCGAACGTTATGTCGTAAGATTTATCATGGGTGCCGTAACTTAAACTCCCGGTAAGGAACTCCAAAACATACCTGCTAAAGCCTCAATACTGTTTGTAAAAGACAATGTATGCTCACTTTCGTGTCCCGTTCGGATTGAATATCCTCCGAAGTGTTACTTATTACTGATTCTTATAGCGATAAATGGACGTCCAAAATAAATAGTTCTGTGAGTCTTCGACACTGATGCTGACCTCATTAGTTTCAATGGACACACCTAACTGAGACGCTCGGTCACGCGTCAAAGTTACATCACGAGTGTGTACGTCATGCTACGCATCCCTTGTAACTGCTGGCCAGCTTGGATCAAATGCTTCTAAACATAACGATATATCCTCATTTTACATTTTTATTTTTACATAGTGTGATATTGTTTTGATGTTTTAGGATATTTTCCGCCTATTTGTGCGTCTTGTTTTAACTGACCGAAAAAGGTTGTGTCAACTTTTCCACAACATCGTGTTGTAACATGGCCCAGCAACAGGAATGTTGCTACGAATATAAGAGGTCATTGGTCAACGAACAGCTATTCGTGCCGAAGATTTTCCAACGGATGCAGGCAGTTCTTGTCTTATCTCAAAATAACTCTATAGACGAAATGACGGCATCTTCAGAATGGATTCTGGAGATTACCAGAACCCTAGACTTCGAGGTTTACTCTGCCAACAAAAGACTCCAAACAACACAGAATGACGTTGCATACCTCCATTATACTCTTCCTCGTTATCTTAATATATACCATGATCATAGATGCTTCCAAACTCATCGAAGGAGCTCGCCACAGAAAGGATCTGTCACTGGACCGTGAGATAATTCTGATTGTTGCAGACACCACAATACATATGGTAAGTCATCCAAAAATTTCAGAAATCACTTCAGTTTCTCAAGCTCTAAACTGTCTTGCGTGGAAAACACTCCGGAAAACGTCCCCACCGAGCTGCGTTAACGGCAACCGTAGCTGAAAAACATAGCCGTCCGTTGCAAGTTACTGGTGTGTTGATGAAAGTGTACTATCTCTTCGACACTGGCTCATAAGTAAGCGTTCTTCATGCAAATTCTAATGAATGTCTGCTTGAACTCGTCTTCAACTTACAGGCGGCAAATGGATAACTGATTACCACATATGGTAAGCAATATGTTTATTTTAACGTAGGTTCACGCAAACTTGTTTCTATGCCAATCACTGATATAGACCTGCTAAAACACCATAATCTACTCATCGACATGTGCAAACAGGGGTTGGTGGATGGCAATACTCAATTGTCCGTTCGTGTAAATTATCCTCAGTCACAGTAAGGCACATAATCGACCCATCCTATCAACTCATACTAGATAATTACCTCAAAACGCACCAAACGCGACCGAAATTACCGTGTGTAATCGGCAGCATTGCACACCACATTACAAATAATGGACAACCAGCATTTTCGAAAGTGCGCCGACTAGCTCCGAAAAGGTAAGTTTGGCCGAAAGCGAAATCGATAACATGATAGGCTTGTGATTTATGTGGCCATTTCTGAAGAACTGTATGCTGACTCGAGAGGTCGTCGATGTGAGTCTCGACGTACAAAGCCGTGTGTAGTATATCGTGAGACAGCTTGAACGAAAACATTCGTTGATTAGATGACTAGTTATCGCAAGAGACGAGTATTATGGGACACTGGAACATGATCTGGTACGGATGCTTGACTTGGTGCATTCAGCTAAAGAAACGTCAAGTAGAACAGATAAAGGTTTGGTAGCTCTTTTTATCTGACTCCATTTGTATTGTGTGGATGATTGTCGTCGAAATACACATATCGAATATCCTCGTACATGATTATCAACTTAACTCGTGTTAGTGAATAACAGATTTAAATAAGTCAATCACGAGTATAGAGTTTGAATATGTATATTTCTTGCACTCAGTGATTTGAACATGCTATCAGGGAGACGAAATAAAGAAGGAAGAGAGAAGCAGGTTGGAGAAGGCATGTGTACTAACTCGATTTAACCAAGAGTTATTCAGTATTTATATCCAGATAGAAATAAGCTACAGACATGTGACCAGTAGGATAAGATGTTCACACACACACGCTCCGCTAGAAACAGCCAGAATAAATGAGAGAATAAGTGATAAGGTCAAGATGTGATTTAAAAAGAATGAATAGATTGGCTTGTCCGGAGACTAGGATAAGCTATGTGGGTTTAACATAGCACATGACGTTACACTATCCCCCACGAGTTCCATGTCAGTATCGAAGACTCTAAAAACTGCTCTTCATTTACCACTAAACTGTAAATGCAAAATAGCGTTCATTTTGTATATTTGATTCAAAGGTCTTGAATATTTAGTTGACGGCAATGGATTTAGATCGAAATAATCTCTTACATTCTGTAATCTCTATTTACAAATACAGTCCCTAGAAACCTAACAACTTCATTAATTATTATTTTCGTTCCATTGCCAATTTATTTCGTTGCGCTAACTGTTTACTTCAAGTTTTGATGTTCAACTCATTCAAATGAGGTGTAATGGATCAAACTATCTCCTTCTACTCCTAATCTTAGGCTTTCATTATTGTTGATGATTGTCTGTTGTTACTGATTCTCTAAAGTGGCTAACTTATTAAACAAGTATGAGGTTACTTAGTATTTAAGACTGGGATCGATTGCTCACTTTGATATATTTCTGCTGAGCGGATCACCTTAAGTTTTACAAAGGACGTTTAGTGTTCAATTTTAGAAAAAAATAAGGAGTACTAATATTTTACGTATCTGGAGCTGCAATACTTGTCGTATCCAACTATGAGCACGAAACTTATGTAAAAGTCAAAATCACACAGAATGTTTGTATTAAGTACCGCTGTGTGTCTAAATAATCAAAACTTACAAGTGTCTTTATCATCCTCAATTTCATGTGATAGGTAGTGTTCAGATATTTATAGTACATAACGCCGAGCTCACAGATGAAATACAGATATTGGTTGCTGCAGACAGTCAACTAAAGAGCCATTCATTCTCAATACGAGACTAGAAGGAAGTAGCTTACTGTTTAATAGAAATCGTAGACACAGATGGTAACTACAAGTGTATTATCAATGTTTGAAATATGAGTAAATGTAGTTTATCGAATCCTCAATTGTTCGCTCTTGAGAAGACCTGTAAATTGTTGTGATTTAGATATTATTCACAATCAATTAATAGCAGACAACTCTATGGAATTCAAGAATTTAATTGATACCATCGATATAGAAGACGAAATAATGGCAAGTTTTGATGTATCTTCTTTATTCACTAATGTACCTATCAGTCGAGCTATGGATATTATCAGTGATTGTTTAGAATCTGATTCAAATTTGAATTTACGATGCCCATTAGATCCATCAGAGGTTATAAAATGCTTAGAATTATGTTTAAGATCTACCTTATTCATATTTCGAGGTCAACTTTACAGACAGAAAGAGGGTATAGCAATGGGCTCACCAGTTTCTCCGACTGTAGCGAATTTATTCATGCATTCCCTAGAAACTAGTGCAATCGCAAAAAGTTTATGTCCACCAAAGTAATGGTTAAGGTATGTAGACGATATTTTTATTATCAATAAACGGGATGGTATGGAAGAACTATTTAACAATGTAAACAGCGTTTCTGAAAACATTAAACTAACTAAGGAATTAGAATCAGTTGACCACAAACTAGCTTTTCTAGATTGTTTGGTTGAACGTCAACACAATAATAATAAGTTTAAAATAAATGCTTACAGAAAATCAACACATTCCGAGAGATACTTGGATTTTAATTCAGCCCATTCACAGAGCACGAAAATTAATGTAGTAAAAAATCTAATGAACAGAAGTACTAAGATTGTTACAGACAAGGAAGACCAACGAAGCGAATTAAATAAAGTATTTCCTACTCTTAGGGATAACAACTACCCAAAAAGGTTTTTAAAGAAGATTATTAAAAATGAAAGAAAAACTAAACTAGATAATATACGAAAAGAATGGAAGTACATTGTAGTCATACCTTACCATAGTGAAACATCAGAAGAAATCAAACGGATTCTAAACAAACATGATATAAGAGTATATTCGAGAGCGAATAACACATTAAGATCGACATTAGTGAAAGTTAAGGACAAGTTAGCAAAGGAAGAACAACAGAATATTGTGCACGAGATTAACTGTCATGACTGTAATGCTACCTATGTTGGAGAAACATCCAGGCAATTGAATGTAAGATTGAAGGAACACAAACAATGCTTGAAAAATGTTCCAAAATCCTCGGTCGATCTAAAGGAACTTGAAAATAAGTCAGCGATAGAATTACATGCGTTAGAAACAGGACACAAGATTAATTTTGAAGGGAACAAAATACTTCAGAAAGGTTTTAACACCCATAAAGAAAGATTGACAGCAGAAGCGCTGCATATATGGGCGAACAAGACCAGCCTGAACCGAAAAGATGGTATTCAACTGGCAACTACCTGGCAAATTTCGTTTGACAAGTAAATTTGGAACCCATCTCTTGTTTAAACCAGTTTTTTATATCACATGCATCGTTATTATTTTTGAAAGAATTCAATGAGTTTTTAAACAATACAATTTATGTTTTGACATGTACATCGATGTTTCACTATCAATTTTTCATCCTTGAACTTGAAGCTTATTTATTCCTTCATATCAATCTCTCACACATATATACATACCTACACACTCACACACATACGATTTGTTTCTCGATTAAGTATTTCCATGTAGTTGATTTCTTCACATGATTTCTAGTTAACTAACTCATTTTATCCTATTTTACAAAAAATCAACATCCAAATATGATTGGTTTAACACAGTATAATCCTGATTGCTAAAAAGCTATATATTTCTTTGATCATTTGATTATTACCCTGAAGAAGTCCAGACAAGTTAGCTGGACGAAACGTTGGAATTAGTTAAATTTCAATCGCTGAGAATATTTCAAATATAATTTTCACATATAATGACTTCTCTATACTCGGCGCTCAATTACTGTCAAATTATTCGTTCTAATCTTGACGAACACTCGTATAGACAATGATGTTTTTTCTGAAACTCCAAATATTTTTGCATAGAAGAATTAAGGAAAACGTAGGGAGTTGTGAAAAATGTTTCATCAACTGGGGTTGGTGAGTGTGAATATGCAGTCCAAACCACAGTTTTATGAAAGTAATAGAATAGACGGCTGGTTTGAATTGCTTTCTACGTAACATTCTGACTGATACGTTAATATGATAATCAAATGAAGAAACACAACATTAACTCGGTTTACCACTGAAAAATGATCACGTTATCTAATTATTGAAAATATAAACATACTATTTGAAGATAAATTAACAAACAGTGTTGATATGTGACATGTAATAAAGTCTAAATTCTTAACTGTTTCAGACGAATTTGAGACTATCCGTTTTACAATGAAAGTAATTAACATGAACCAACTGTGCATTATTGATTGTCTGCTACTGATATCGACAGATATAATTAGTATGTGCCGTCAATCGAAAGTGAAATGCCTGGTGGCAGAAGGTTAAGAAGATCGAAGAAAAAAGGATGAGAACAGAGAATGGTTGGTGTGGAAACGAAGGAACAATCGAGTTTGAGACGATTTATTGAAATTTTACAAATGAAGTATTTATTATGTGTTTTTCAGATTTTACTACGGTATTCAGTAATTTTGTATACAAATACATGCGATTGTCCCCACTTGTGTTCTCGTTCACTACAATAGTAGTTCCTCTGAAAATGAAAACAGAATCGGAGCATGTGATGAACCTATTTCTAGTTTACTGTCTAGCATGAATCTCTATTTCACTACTAGCATTGTTAATCTAACGAACGTGAAAAGTGATTTGCTTAGTGAACGACGCTCCATCAACTTTGGGTCTGACAGCCTAAAAGTATTAACGAGTGTCATGTAAAAGGTATATCTGAGATACTAGTGCCTTAACATGTACTTTTAAAATGAGCTATATTAAATAAGCAGTTAAAAGATACATGATGAAACGTACACTCCATTTCTAAAAGTATACAATGAATAAAGGGATGAAGTAATCCAGTTCACAAGCTGTAAATTAAAACGCTGAATAAGTGGATAAATCACTTCATTATAGAACTAGGAAATATGTATAATTATCATGTATTTATTACTTTTAACGATAATTCATTGATTAGATTACCAAAATCCCATACATAAACAATCCCACTTGTACTTCCAGTAGCAACAAGTTTAGAACTAAAATGAAGATGAAATAAATGTTTGTTTAAAAAAACATTGAAAATGTGACTTACTCTTTTTCATTAAGTTTCGCAGATACAATTGTACTTTGAATATCATTATCAATTTGAGATGTCAATGTATACAGTAGTTCAGGTTGAAGACTATACAGTTTCTCTTCATTAAAATAATTGTATATTGGATTAATTTCTTCATCACCAGTTAAATCATAAATAAGTATATGATGATATTCGGTTATACAGATAAAAATATTTGATAAATATGAGGAAAATTCAACGACAAGTACTGAACCATAATTTGGATCTAAACTTATTAATGGAGATTTTTGTAGTACATTGAAAAGCTAAAATTAAACATATAAAATGAAAGAATTCAACATTTTAAAATCCCCTAATAATAATGACTTGCTTTATTAAATTTCAATTATTTATTAAACTATAAAGGGAAAGACTTCATTTTCATAATGATATATTGTTTTTAATGTATATAAAACAAAGTTAAAAACTGGGACATTAATATTATTACGTGAGTATATACTTTGATTCATTTCTTAAGTCATATTTTGACTGAGATAATGGGATGATTGCTTTATCTTTACAATTTTAGTTACATGTTACTTAAAAACTGTAAAGCTTGGTCATAGGGATCGAACAAGTAGGATTCATTTTTTATTCTGATTTTAAACATATCAGTCAAACAGTAACTGTTTTAATGGAACTTAATTTATTTCAAAATCAACTAGTTTAGCTCAGTTATAACCGAATTTTTGATTGAATGATCAATTAATGGTAACGAAAGTAATATATATAGTTGAGATCGTGAGTCAATTAATGCTAGATCACCATGGAAAACCTGGAGGCACTGGACGGCCGTTTCGTCCTACTGCGGGACTCCTCAACAATGTGCATCCACGATCCCACCTCGCGGGATTCGAACCCAGAACTTATCAATCTCGCGCACAAGCGCTTAACCACTAGATCACTGAGCCGGCATCCAGTGGTGTTAATATCTAACTTCAACTAATCCACGAAATTGAGTGACACGTCCACCACTGTCATCAGTGAGTTACTGTCTCACAACAGACCCGGTTGAACTCCACTGGTCACTGCTTCTTACCAGAACTCCGGGATATACCTCTTGAAGTCAGTCATTAGTGAGCATATATCGATTATTATTAGGAGGGTCTTTGGGGAGATTGAGGTAATTTCATATTTGCTCTAGCTTCAATTGACTCATGATCTCAACTAATGAAAGTAATACAATCTCCACAAAACCCCTTCTGATACATATATATATATATATATATATATATATATATATATATATATATATATATATATATATATATATATATATACTGCTAATCGATAGAATCCAGTCTTTTCTACGGGACTGGTCACTTGTAGATATGTCATTCCTGAATAACTCAGTGGTCTCAGAAAGTGAATCTGAATGATACAGATCCAAATATCACAGAAAGTATTAGTTCCTTCAAAATTCCAGGTATATCTTGATGACAAGTGGCTATTGGCATGTAACTTTTGTCCCCTTTTTTTCTCGACTACCTGGAGCAATCTAACAAACAAATTAACGTTTGCTTAATTCGGAAGCAGGTTTCATACAAATTAGGTTGTTAGCTTTATTTATCTGTAACAAATGAAATGGAATTAAGGAATAGTAAAACAAACCAGAACTTTTTAATTGGATAAAATAAAAAAATGAGATATGTGGTTAACCAATTCCTAGTACTTATCATATAAAACAGACTTGACGACTGAATTCTATTCATTTTTCAAACAAGATAAAAGGATGTTTTACAATCTAAAGTGATACAATGTTGCCGACTTTGATGTCAATCAATGTTTATGCATAAACAGTATACTTGAAACCATGTTTTTAGAATAGAAAGTTAGCTTCAAACTGAGTTGTTCAATATTAAGGTATAAAAATTCACTGCAAATCGTTGTAATGTTGAATCTCAGAAATTGAAACTTTCTGAAAATGTAATGATAGGCTTCCCCCTCATAAATACTAATAATTAAACAAAAACTTTAATTAATAATCAGACTAACTCGAACAAGCATGAATATCCCGAGTTGCAAATAACACTTATTTTACCATGCCATTTTGCAAAACATGGTATTGTATGTTGAATTATTATTTACATTTTGGTGATTTAAAAGTTTCTACATTAACTATGTTTTTCAACTGGTTATGTTTTATTCATACCTGAATACAATGATTGAACCCACAAGCTATAATAAGATTGGGATAGAATTTACTCCAATCTACTGAATAAATCGGACCATCTTGACGAGCTAGTGAAAATCTAACCGGTGACTGTATGTATTCTTCCAAGGATTCTTCTGAAATGAAAGTTGAATTCAATTAATATATATCGTGAGCTTATTTTAATTATTTGAAATTTTTATTCCTTAGCTTATTATATCATATAAAATGATTAAATTATTGTATTTGTGAGAGCATGATCATGTGACTAACTATGGAATACTGTTATTTTCAACAAGACGTTGATTTAGACCAGTCCTAAAAGGGAAAGAAATATGGTTCAAACATTCTTGTATATTTGCTTAAGTCGTTCATAAAACTTAGAATGTTGTGAGGGCAAATTACTATACCCAGAAATATACCTCTATCAAAGAGTTAACTCAAATAACGAAACTAAACAGTATTAATGCATACCGTTCGACATAGACAATTTTGATGACATCTCATCAAAACATCAGACCAAAATTCAGTTAGTCACAAAATACGTAGAACCTGGTATACAGGTACATCGGTTCAAGTTACCACTGTAAAATACTTGGTAGTTGTAAGCAAAAACGTTTCATGTACCTAATGAAAGACATTCGATAAAGAAGCTTTGGAAATAATTCGAGTTTTGGACTGTTTTTTTCCGTTGTCTAGTTCAATGTTAATCAGCGTGAAAAATTTTTTTTTTTCTAACCGGAACATTAAATAATATCTTCAGATATGTACGAAATAAATAAACTCTTCAAGTTCAAAAGTATATTGTAAATGAATTCTGTAAATGTTATTAAGTGTAATAATGTGATACTCACTATATGTTCCATTCCAGTTAACAGAATTTATTTGACATATTAATAGTCCTCCTGTTTCTGTTCCAACAACAAATTTTTCTGGATCATTTTTAGCTAATGAAATACAAGTTATATTAACTGCTCTGTCACTATTTATTGTTTCGGATAGATCTGACCGAAAGAGACTGCATTTCTTTAATGAATTAAAATGGTTGGATATTGGTAAAGGACTCTGATCTTTATGTCTTATTTGAAAACTATAATAAGAAATTACATTGTAAACATATTCATATTATTATTAAATCGAGTGAATTGATAAATTAATATTAAATAACCAGTGGAAGCGACCACTTACCTCAGTATTTCATGTCTTATTGAGTTATAGAACTAGGGAAAAAGTAATTTGTGATTGTAAAGAATTATTAACTGCCATATTATTATGACTTTTTATATTACTAAATGATCACAAAATTTATACTTATCAAGACAACTTCTTACAAGTGTTGATAAGAAAATATGGTGAGACTACAATTTATGGACGACATTTGAGCAACGCTAAAATGACCTCGAGAGTGTTCACTTAATAACTAGGACCAAATGAGGGTTATAAACCAGTATGAGGAATTAGAGTTATGATTTACAGTTGATGGTTAGGGTTAAAAATTAGATTTATGGTTTTCATAACGAACTGGCATCAGCTATAATGCCAAAACTCTATTTAGCCTAATGGACGGGTGGATTTCGCACCAAAATCCGAGACCTGTTATCCTATACCTGATTGGTTTGTCCATAAATTTTAGTCACGCCATACATTCTTTTCAAAACTATTAGACGTTAATTTTACATAAAATTTTTATGTTTATATTATACATTTAATTTACAAATTTTGACATCAATGAAAAAATAAAACCCACGAACTGAGATAATCATAAATAAAGTTCTAAATTGGTTGATTCCATAAACATTTTATATTAGTTATCAAAGACACTATATATTCCGTATGAACTATAAATTAGTGATCAAAAAGATAAACAAGGGATATCTGTAGATTGATATGTTATCCGAAGAAAAATATATTGAAGTGCCATCGATTTGATATAGTGTAATTGAAATTACTTGATTAGGTGGTATATGAGGTTTTTGCTAAGTTTTATAATAATGATAACCATGTACATACCCGCAAATAGCTTGGAAACGGATTTATCAACCTCCTATCAAAACATAGCGACTTACAAAGTCAGTTATATAGGTGGTGTGACTTAATAATATCACTGGGTAGCAATAACGTTTTATCACAATACTCTTGAATATAAAAACGAATATCATAAGATTGCAAATCAGTAGTCTTCAAGCTGCGATACCAGTAGGTCTCAGATTTGTTATGGTATACAGTCACATGTGAACATTATTTCAGGAGTTTAAACCAGGCTTATAATGGTTCTTCAACTGATGTTAGTCCTTGTTAAAAAATCCTTTGCAAAAATTGCACGTCATAACAATTGGTCAAAAATGCAAAGAAATATAAAGATATATTCAATCAAAACTAACCACTTACATCTTAACACAGTTCACATTTCCTAAGTGACACAGATCAATTCGCCAACAAACAATTCTTCCATCACTTCCTGAACTTAATAACCTATAAGTTGTTGTATATCGACTGATTTTTTCGGAAGTTAGATTTTGTAAGTTAGACTCTAGACTATCTCGTATCCAACTGATTTGATTGATACAATCCTTATGACCACTGTGCATACTTCCGATACTGGCTAATAGATGATCATTTTCGTTGGTACGATTCCAGACGACTAAATCTCCTAGACAACGGTAGATAAACAACGCAAAAAACAAGAAGTGATTTGACGATGTATTTAAATAATAGGTGATGTTAGAGTCATTTTGTATCTTTAATACATGCCTGAGGTATTGTAACAACAAACGAGCGTAGTAGAGTTTATCCCTGGAGTACTGATGCTAACCTAAAATCGATTAATCTAGCTGTGCAATTCATTGACTGAAGATACGTAAAACAGACCCCAGTCACCTTCTACCTGAAATGTAATAGTTGTTAGAGTTTGAATGAAGTAGAGGACGACTAAAGACAGCTAAACTAAGACATGACATCTGCCCATGGGTTTATGGGCTTTTGCACTGAGTAGTATTTAGAAATGTAGATTACCTAGATGGGATCATTGATTTAATTATGATCTTCAGTTACAGTCTTTAAATAAGCCAAACACATTCATTTTCCCATCCATCCTGAATTTAAAAATTATTTGATACTTCTCACTCTGTGGTGTCATTCATTCTCTCAAAAGCTCATTACCTGCATTTATTTATCATTAATTATACAGTTATAAAATGATATTTACATTAATATAATACAATTTATTCAAGAATTATATAATAACATTATGATTGTAAAGAAATAACAATATTTTTGTAATAGATATTGTTTTAATTATTATTTGATGGAGTCTGTAAAGTATGACTGTCAATTTGTTTATTGAGATTTTACAAGACTTTTATTTCACCGAAGGAAACAATTTATCCACGTATTTTAGCTTGATAGCTTTTAGAGTTTTATATATAGTTCGGTTTATCTCTTAATGAGGGAGTTTGGATACACCAACTAGTTGCCCAGTATTACGTATTTCTTAGTGATTCATTAACTGTAGTTATTCAGAGGAAAGTTAATGGTTCAGGCAGTTGTGAAATGCACAGAAGTCTCTACCTAACGAGCTTTCGTGTCTAGTAGCAACAGATCACAGATGCCTCCAGGTAAGAATCATGGGTTATCAAACAAACAGAAATAAAAGTTACTCATAGATTATGTTTAGTCATTAAGGATATGCTACGTTTTCAAGTGAACGACTGATGGGAATTTTTTTGGACCATGAAAACCTGTGCAGAATTCCCGCACCTGACTACTCGTAAGGAGTAAAAAGTATGCTTACAATCTGGTTTCCCTCTAGCTTCCGAGTATTCTCGTAAGGTTTGTGTTGAAATAGAGGGCATCAAAGGATGTTTTGGATAGTTTGTGCCTAAAGGATAAGGATTTGGTTACTTAAGGCGTTCATCATAAGGTTTGAATTTGAGTCCTCTAAATGATTTCATTGCCTGCCTTTTGGTTACTCTCCAGATTGCTCTTATTCTTTTGAAGTAAAGAAGGAAACACTATTTATATGAAATTAGGTCAAATAGAACTGTAGGAAATTGAGTTAAAAGTCCCATTGCTAAAATGGGCTTGGAAAATACTATTTCGGGGGTCAGTTGTAGTTGGAATATGATTTTAAACCACAGGAAACCAAGATATCTAGATCTTTTCTAGCTAGTTGCACTTTCAGAGAGGATTAACTAGGTTTTATGTGGAATTCGTCGAAAAATTACTCTTTGGTCTTCATAAAACGTCATATTAATTAAGTGATTTTTAAAGGTTATATATCAGTGTAATTTGAAATTACTTGATCACTCTATTTTACGATTAGTGATAAGGTTCTTATAGGTAAAAGACAAAATATCAACTAGTTTCATGAGAGCATGCTTATCTTCATGCGATTAAATGTGAGTTACCCTGTCATTTTAAAATCACTTATTTCACAACACTCAGTTCCCTTAATAAATATGAACAAAGCAAAGCCAACAAAACTTTAAGAGCAAAAATGAAGTTATTCTTAAAGCTCTCATTATCTGTTCTTCATAACCGCATGTTTTTTTCACACATGAAAATAAGCATCAATTCTGACTATGCTCAGTAAGACGTCCTATATCCTGTTCCACTTACTTTGATACTTAGCTCTTTTTCAAATACCCATCTCAAATCAACTAACTAAAGTGCGCCAAACCTTTAATATTTAATTGTAATAGGTCCTGAATTTCTAGGCTATCTGCAGACTTTTAGTAGAATGAATTCAGTTTTTCTTGTATAACCTGTTGTTTTCGCTTTCATTATATCTAAAGACAAGTTAAGAAAATAATTAAAGTGTGACTAACCTAATTCAGGACCAAAATCATCTGATGCGTGTTGGAAAGCCTATCAATCCTACCAACCCATTTAACCATGAAGCAATAGCTATGATGTGATAAGATATAAATTTACTTAGTTTAAAAGTCAAACGACTCAATCAGCGCAGAAGTTTAAAAGATACGGTAGTAGTGTTTAATTTTTTGAGTTGAATGGTTTAACTATGAAGTCTTTATTTTCTTTATAGACAGTATCATATGCATAAAATTAAAATGAAGTAAGTCCCGAAAATTATTTCCTAACTGAAAAACAGCCTATGGAATTCGACTGAGTATCAACAGGGTAGGCTTCTGGCCACTTGTAAAGACATTCTAATAGCTCACTTCTTCTGCACTTCTTAATGAGGTCAATGAACATACCAATAAAACTTTGCCATTAAACTTCGCTCTTTATAATATTCAATAACATGTAATTCTTTCCGATGAGCAAAAAGGCGTCTTCTCAATCTCAACATGATATTTCTAGATACCCTTCACTTATTAATTATATAGGATATATATATATATATATATGCATTTAAACTAACCTGTAAATGTCCCTCCAGCTAACAAAGATGGAACTATTGGGTGAAATTTAATACACATTAGACAAGTATCTGTTACATATTTTTGCTGAGGAGTATTGATTACCAATGTTTCATTTGACACATTCCAAAGTGCAGCCATGCCATTATGTGTACACCAATCAGCATGACACAATGATCCATATCTGTGATACGTTATGTTAAAGTGGTGAAGTAAAGCATTCGTATGGTAAACGACTGGCTTAGTTTTAAAGCAAGATTACATTTTAGTTGTAAAAAAACAGATCCAACGTTCGAACCACTAAATAACTAAGTGACACCTAATTTAACCTTTTCCATAATTATAACTAGATGTTTTTGTTTATTATCAGAAGGGGCGTTGTAGGGATTTTAATAATTTCAATTGTTGAGATCATGAGTCAATTAAAGCTAGACCACCATGGAAAAGCTGGAAGCACCGGACAGCCGTTTCATCCTATTGTGGGACTCCTCAGCAGTTTTTGGTTCAATCTACCTCATATTTTTTTATTAATTATTCCTTTGTCAAAAGCTCACCCTACCATTTGGAACAAATTGTCAGCTAATGAATTAGGTGTAAAATAAAGAAAAAAGGATACGATATCGCTAATAGTGTCCCATTAGAATTCCAAGATAATCCTGTAACAGATAACTAACAAATAGTTATTCATTAATTTATTGTATTCACACTACTTTGGATTCTTTTGCTTCATTTAGAATGAGTGTATGTTTCACCGATGCATTATTTCTATAAAATAGTCTTCTTGACTGTGATTGTCTAAACACTTTGGAGTGGATATTTTTTTGTATCTCTTTTGTAACGATTGGCTCAGTACGTTTAAGAAAACATAATATTCTTGTTTCTTCAGTCAACTTATCGTTGTTAGTAAGTATGTCATCATGCAGTGTTTCATCTTGATGACAAAAGCTTGTTTGAAGCTGAAAGTTAGAGAGAAATCATCAAAATCACTATCAAGAAAAGCAATTACTTCTTGAGTTTTATACCGTCTCGATTGCGTACCACGATGAAACACTTGATAAGATTCCGTTTGCATTTGTAACTCGACAAATGATCTATAAGATTATTAATTGTGTAAATTTATTGAGAAAAAATTTAGAACAATAGGTAATTATACATCGTTACAAAATGAATGTAATGCATGCTAAAGTACATACAAAATGGATATATTTTCGAGCTATATTAGTAGGCTTGAAACTAATTCAGAAATATAATTGCAAGCATTTTGTTCAGATGAATTACTGATGAATATTATTTTAGAAATGAAGTGTAAGGTATATGTAGATCATTAGTATTTGATGGTAGGTGGTTTTAATATATTTCCCGCTCAGACTGGAGTCAAGAATGAAGTCAGGAATTATAAATATTCGGAGCAGGAAAACATATCTGGTGGGCAGTTGGCTTACAAAACATACATGCAGCGAACCACTGAAAATTGATTTGACCAATGCATAGGTGTAAAACCTAACCAGTATGAGGTTTCGAGAATGTCAAGATCTGTGATTACAATTAAATAAAATGTATTATCTTTGTCGTTATCTACGAAAAAATTTGTTTTTGTTGTTACGCTTTTGCTCATATTCATCTTGGTTATATGACTTTTTCTCCATTAGTTTACACTTTATGTACCATAACAAAATATCGCCTTTTATTCAGGTTTATGCATTGATGATTCATTCCATTGTGATGATTTGAAAAACAATCACCCCAGGAATTGAGAATATAAAAGTGTTCTGGTCTTATTTTATTCAGGGTTCTAGTTCCCTAACATTAAGAGTCCTTAGGCTCGACATATTGATTTTAAAGATGAAATTAGTAAAACAGTAGAACTTGTGTTTATCTAAAACTCATACTTTCTGTTTGATTTTGAAATGTGAAGACTTGCAAGATAACTGTCATTGCATTCTTAATTATAAGTTACCTTTGCAAAGAAGGAAGTAAACCACTGAAAACCATGAGACCGTAACACTTCTGAAAAAACATACTGGTGATACTTAAGGTTTCTTTAGCTTTATAACTTGAGGAGAATAGTGGCTAGTAAACAAGCTTCTGAAACCAGCTTAAAGTTTAATACCGACGGTTGATTTTTAGAGTAAACCTAGTTTTCGAATTCACTTATTTAGTAACTTTGTAGTTTATTAGGAGTAGTCAAATCGAGTTTTATATGTAATTTGTTCTGATTACGTATGCGTCCCAGCAATTTGTTTTGAAATAAATTCTTCTTTATAATAAATCCATATTTCAAGTTAAAAATAATCTTTCTCTGAAATCATTTTCTTGATTATAATTGACTTAGTGGCCTGAAATTTGAAGTAGTGTCAGCATCCCATGTCAAGTTCTCATAATGAAGATGATCGAGTGAGTGTGTCTACGGATACAGCACGCTGATTTAGATGTATTCACAACAAATGAAGCACTTAATTCAACTGGTAAAGTTTGACAAAATTAATAAGCAACCTTGATATCAGACAAAATTGACCTTTGAGTATTGTGCACTACATGTTAGCTACGGATTATTGTTGAAAACGATAATACCAAAACTAAGTATTTTATTTTGCTTACAGCTTTAGTAGCCGTTTCTTTATTATTTACTAGTATAGTTCTCATAAGTGGTTATCACTCCATCAGTTTGTAACATATCCGACAAAGTTTATCCACCTATAGGTAAACGAAGTGCAAGAGATCATTTTTATTATGTTTTGACTTAAAATTGCCAAAAGATCATTTTAAAATCAGATACGGATAGCTTTTCACCTCATTTTCATTTAGCTCTTATACTGCACGCTAGTTCTAACGGTTTTGATTATAAGATTTCTAGGACCTAGTCGTTAATAAGCAATTGATTGGAAGTGAAGTATAATTTACACTATTATGATAAGTATGATCTCGCTTACTTGGTTTCTGAACATTGTGAATAACATTGAACCCCATTAACGATTTCATCAGTGAATTCTTGTATCATTATTAAAACTTGAAGTGAATAATGTATAAATAATTGACGTTATGAGTATCAAAATTAACAAACAATTATACAATTATAGAATATTCTTCGATGTGTTCATAAATGTTTAGGCTAATAAAGCCATGTAAAATATCACGGTTAAAAGTAAATAAAAATTTATATTCATATTTCCAGACACTGTTTTAGAGTTGACATAAGTGTCCTCTATCTTGCTGTAATCAAACAAACGTAATAATCGTTTTCAGGTGCTAAATACCGATTGCTTGATTATGGCGATGCAAGCCACTTAATGGAATAACCTTTTAATGAAGGTGGTTGTGAAAAAGCATTTACTCACGCTTAAAATTATCTTTTAGTATTAAACATTTATTATATTACACTTCATACGTTAAAATCCGAAGTATATGCGAGTAAAACTTGCTTTTAAACACGGATATGAGCTGACTATATTATTTTCGTCATCAACCATTTGCAGTAATAATAAATAATGTGTTGATTGCTTGAAATCACACTTTTAGACAGTAACTATGTATCTTACAGTAAAAGTCGAAAAATTGCATAAGACATTGGAAATTCTTCGTAATTATAAGAAAAAACGGAATATAGGATTCACTATAAATCTACATAAATTTTAGCTGCTAGTTTTTTTCGGGAAATAACTTCTTGCCAATACAAAGTTTTACCTATCATGAAAGAAACAAGGTTCAAAAAGTAACAGTATTTTTAGGTCCAATTAAAAGACATCTGTCTGTTTATCATTCGAATGATATAATAAAGGCTACACATAAGAAAACAGACCATTTGCCAGTTTAGTCGTTGCTTTTGAATGAACTACAGCTTATCCACTTTATATTTAAAACATAAGCTCGCTTTCCTATTCATACATTTAGGATATGGTTCCACATTTGTTGGGTGACTAGTTTGAAAATATCTTCACCCACGTTCCAAAATGCTTTGCATGTTCTCTACAAGATTTAAAAGCCTCTGAAACAACCGGCTTCAGTTATTTGTAGTTTTATGGTCGTTTCTTGCTATGACTCTCAACTTGTTATAACCTATATCTTCAGGTGAAGCCACAGCTGGTGATTTACATCACTACATATTTGCAAAAATTTACCCCTAATTCATATGGTTCAAATAGATGTGGACGGAATAGAAGAAGCTTTTGCTTAACGGGCTTCCGTGTCTTGGAACAGAAGATCACTAATACCTTCAGGCCTGAACCATTTTCTGTTGGATTTGGATGACCACCGATTCTTTCATTTAACATGAGAAGGTAAATATGCGTTTACTTCTATCTTACCAACTTCAGCGCGCACGTTTTACCAGTTTGACGTCTTTCTTAAACAATAAGATAAATAAATTTGCCGTAGTTGGTAGGTTTTTATATGAAGTAAGACAGAAGATGCTCTGGAATCGTCCCAATAGAACAAAATACTATTCAGTCTGACGAGGTGCTTTTTGCGAATGAAAAGACAATGTTCTAAATAAACCAATAATTCCTCATTAACAGAAGTTTAACTAAAGATTAATTTTTGTCTACAGAACCATCTACAAACGTTTCTAGTCTAATCCAAAAACCGATGTGAGATCTGATCAAAGACTCAGCTTACATCTTCGAAAATGACATTTACAGGAAGAATTCGTTCCAAGGATATATCCGAATCTTTTCTTATGATGAGATTAATCTAATTGATCAGACATTATTAGGAATCTATCAAAAACCATGTTGGTTTTCCCCAAAGTCCAATTCGGGGTTTCCACAAAATTCACCCAAAATGGATAAACGTTTTCCTGATATTAAGAGATTGGGTTGAATCTGTAGGATCAAATTTGAAAAAAGGTAAGCAAATGAATAAGCAAGCAAATAGCATGAACCTACATTTGATAATGAGAACAGTCAATGATAGTTGAAACTATGAGTCAATTTGTCATTTTTTGAAATATGGATTAACAGAAATTGTAGTTGTAGTTATGGCAACATATTTTGTTCAATATTAAAACTGTGCACTAAGGGACGAAACAATGTATCAGAACTTGATTTTGTGTTCTAAGAGAACGTTGCTGCATTTAAATAATGTGAATCTTTTCTTAAGGACCTCTTGACCTCTTGGACCACTTACTATTATCTTCTGGTTCTGATCTGCACCGGCGTTGGGATTTTGGTTTTTAGGAAGATAGGTATTTGAAATGAGTTGGCCAGTTCCGTCATAACTGGTCGTTGTGGATCTACCGCTCGTATAGTTTGTACTGTTAGCGAGACCTAAATCTTTTTCTCTTCTGTGGGTTGCAGATCAAGGTTAATCCACAACAGGGAGTGTTTTATTGGGTATTTTTGCCGTCCTCTAATTGGCCTTGGTCGCCTTTCACAACATTTTACGTGACTAGGGCGCCCGATAATCGAGCTTTACAATCCTGAAAGGTCTCAATTATGTCCTCTCCGTTTCTAAAGTTTATAGCTGCCAGACGCGGAAATGTAATGGTCGAGAAGTTCAACGGACGATGTCGCCTAGACATATTATGGTAGTGAAGGGAAGGCCTATGTTAAGTGATAGCTGAGGCTAATGTTGCATATCATGTATGTGAATATCAACCTGACTATCAAGTATTAGCTCAAGTACCCTGTGACCTACCACGCTGGTTGTCTCTTGAGCGTTCGCTGACCACATGGCGTGGCCAGTTACACACTATAGTTTGTCTTCCCTAGCTCGAGTTTGAGTGGATAGCTCAACCGATGGTCTTTGGGATGTCAGTCAAATTTCGTCTGTGCCATGTACTGAATCTCAGGTTTACCTCGATCGGAAGTGCCTTACGCAATCTCTCAGGATTGTACAGTATTAGTCCCAACGCTCCATACTTTCTAATATGATACTCTTTAACATTGAAACACTAAAAAACCAAGTAGCTTCGTCTAACGTCTTTGTCTAAATTTTTACCGTTTCGAGAGTTATGCTTCAACCATTACACTTCCCAACACCCATCCAGCGCTGCTTATCATTATCAAATATATGGGTATTAACAACAACTAGTGTTTTCATCTGTGTATGACCTTGGATTGTAGCTACTATGGTTGCCTGTGTTGGGTGGGCCTGTGTTTGTCGATTCGTATATACTTGTGATGATTAGTACGCTCGCTTCCAGTGGGGTTTCACGCTTCGTTTCTCTTAATTGTTACGGTGAATTTTTTTCTACTCCGTGAGCAGGTGTACGAGAAAAGGTCGACTTGGCATAATCCCATAGAACTGGTAAGATGCTGTTCTATCACTGCGACAGTGAACACGGCCACTACAGAAATTATATTCAGACGCTGAGTCTACGCTTCCAACAAGACAAGAGCATGCTATGTCACCACCGATTTTATGTTGTTTATTCCTATTATTCGGCACTACGGTAGCTTAAGTCAACTTTTTCTCTTTTTAATTTTTGCTTACTGGTCCTATTGACAGTAGGTACTCGGATAGAAGAGTGGTCCGGATTACGAAGTTGGATATCCAATTTTGATGTTTGAGCTGAGAAAAACATAAAGTTTGGTTAAAAAGAGACCTAAATAAAGGTTAAAATTTAGGACAGGGAGAAGAAACAAACTGACCATTATACTATCCAACGAAATACTATGTAGGGATTTTCAGGTTCTTCTTTCCGTCATCCCGGCTAACAAGATTCTTCCGGCTACCTAGAGACACCTCAGAATACGTTCAGTGACTGAACGTATTAATACTCTATATCAACTGGAAGCAAAATACTTAAAACAGTACACGTGTGCACTCATAAACGTAACATACAATTTGCAGTTATTTGACTCTTTCTGGAAGACAAAAGCTTTCGCAGGTTCCCATATATTTCCCTTTGCCCTAAGACTAACGAACTAAGTTCGGTTCAGACAGCCTACAATTAAGGACCTGTCTTGGTAACGGGGGGCACATGATGGTTATGTAGATCATATATCTTTCGAGCAATGCTGCTGCTGGAGTGATGGAAAAGAGAAAAAACAGTTTCTTGTGGCACAAAAGCTTCATTTATCAAAAAGTGGAATATAATCCTCTAAGCACAGTATAAAGTTATTCAACCACACGTACTCGTGTGTTAATAATGGTGACGAAGTACAGAATTAATGTTTAGAATGTAACCTTGAAATAGGCATCAAACACATTCTGAGTTATTTTCCAAGGCAAGTACTGTATTATAATGCAGGACAAGAATAATATTCGTGGTATTGGTAGGCAATCCATATGTATTAGAACTCGGAATTTAATGTGGCGATCATTTTTTCATTGTTTTCTGAGAAGGAGAAGCAGATTCCATCGGGCTAAAGCGCATGATGATGTCACAGGTATTCAGTGTTTGACAACGCTTCTACCAGTAACACCTTCTAATATATTTCGTTCCCGCCCAGAGAAATCAAAAGACAGAGTCGAGGAGATCGGAAGAGTGTATTTGGTGATTACCAATATATCGGAATTCTCTGATCTAATCTGGCTAGCGATTGCGGTTGATGTTGAGCACGGCGTTACCACACGTGATCTGGTGTAGATGCCTGACCGAGCGCCTTCAGCTAGATGAGTCCACTAAAACATATGGTCAGCATCCAATGTCGAAAACTTAGTGCTATTTATTTTGGGGATTTATTTACCGCTACAGATCACTCCCCCCTAGTGGGGCAGTGACGACCCTAAGACGTGGCCAGCCAGAAGTTTAAACCCAACGAGTTTGTCGTTGGTAAACACTCTTCTGATAGCTTACTAAATTTAGCAGCGTCTGGTCGTCTTTCCTTACTATATGGGACGGAGGTACAACATAGTAAAAAAAGAAAATGTACAATGAAAATTTCGGATCCTCGTAAACGTCATCGTTCTTTTCCAGCCGTCCTGGAAAATAAAAAAGAAAATGTAAGTGCATGTCGAAATACACTCGTATGTGCGTGAAAGCACAATGTCGGCGGAAAAAAAATGGAAAATAAACTCATGAACACGTAATAGCGTTAAAAAAATTGTTTTTTTTAA